TATTATATTATATTATATTATATTATATTATATTATATTATATTATATTATATTATATTATATTATATTATATTATATTATATTATATTATATTATATTATATTATATTATATTATATTAGAAAAAGTAACACCGCGGCTGCTCCTGCTACTACTTTCCACGCTTTCCAAACGCAAGTCCCAGGAGAGAACAAACAGCAAACCGTGCTCAGGGGCATCCAAGCCCACCTAAAGCTAGGCCGCTGCTGGTGGAGCCTTGCCCTGCCTTGGTGCCCTGTTTCCTGGCTCGGTGCTCCTGCTCGGGCGGCACTTTAAAAGCCCTCCTCCTCGCGTACGCACCGGACAAGCCGCTCATCACGACCGCGGCTCCCAGCACCCAAGCAACTTCCCAGCAACTTGCGGCTTGCTTTTTCCTCTCGGGCGCTCACGCCTGGCCCCGAGCCCCGTGACGGAGGGGAAACCTGGAGCGCCGCCGGGTCGCCTCCTCCAAGCAGCCCGCCCGCCGGCCGGGCGGAACCCTTCCCGCTCCTTGGCGGGAAGATGCTCCCGCCTGCAAACTTTGCCTTTGCAAAGTTTAAGCCTGGAAGCCCTGGAAACCCGAGCAACTTCCCAGCAACTTTTGACTTCCTTTTAACTCGCAGGTGCTCGCGCCTGGCCCCAAGCTGCACAGCGGAGGGGAATCCCGGAGCTCCACCTGGTCGCCTCCTCCAAGTAGCCCACCCGCCCGCCGGGCTTCCCCTCCGCCATGCAGCTTGGGGCCAGGCACGAGCGCCCATGAGTTAAAAGGAAGCCGCAAGTTGCTGGGAAGTTGTTCGGGTGCTGTGAGCAGGCTTTTAAAGTGCCGCCCGAGCAGGACCGCCGAGCCAGGAAACGGGGCACCAAGGCAGGGCAAGGCTCCACCAGCAGCAGCCTAGCTTTAGGTGGCTCCAAGCAGCCCGCTCCAAGCAGCCCGCCCGCCCGCTGGGCGGAACCCTTCCCGCTCCTCGGCGGGAAGACGCTCCCGCCTGCAAACTTTGCCTTTGCAAAGTTTAAGCCTGGAAGCCCCGGGAAAAAAAGGGGGATCAGCGGGGACTCACCTTCAGAGAGATCACACATTCGAAGGTGATTTCGAACTCCCAGCCGAGGCCTTTGCAAAGTTCTTCTTTTCTTTCCTACCCCAAGAGCGCTCCGCACTGTTTTGCAGCTTTGGGGGCCATGCAGCGCAGGGCAATACGCCACGGCCAGCGATTTTTTTTCAGGGGCGGGCCAGATTGGACAGACCCAACGGGCCGGATGTGGCCCGCGGGCCGTAGTTTGCCCACCCCTGCCCTATGACATGAAGAGCAGCATCTTGAATTACAGCATCATGTAGAACACGTTGCAGAAGGCAGGTTGTGAAGTTTCCAAGGCGTGAATGGCTCTCTTTTTTAATAGAAACTATCGTTTATATTACAATGTTACTTAGGACATGCTTTGTTTTTGGTTGTTTATTTTAATATTTTGGTAAAAGGATGGATTATCCTAAGAGTATCATTTCTGTTTAGATAACAGAAAGACAATTGATTTGGTTTGGCTAGGCAGGATTACATTCATAATTTTGAGCTTGCAGTCAAAAATTAAATGAATTATAACATCCTCCTGATTCTTAAACCATTTAAAAATTTTCATAAAACAGAAGGAAGTACATGGAGCATAGCATTTATCTGGGGAAGTTTTGCCTTAAGTAAGAGCATGTTGTAATGCTTAAGGTGAGATCAGAAGCAATTTTGTACAGTTCAGAGCATTTGATAGCCATCGGACGGAAAGTACATCTTAGATATTCCTTTCTGTGTTCAATTTTCAGCTGATTATCACAGCAGTGGTCACATTGTTCTCAATGGTTGGAAGATACACAACACAGCAAAGAATAAATGGTTTGTGTGTATGGCCAAAACATCTGAAGAAAAGCATGAATGGCTCGAAGCTATCCTGAAAGAAAGGGAAAGAAGAAAAGGTGAGAACATGAATTTTACTTCTATACATTCTCACACCTGGAGGAAGTACTGTGTCAAAAGAAATTTCTTGAGAGCCAAAACAATCAGTCAGTGGAATAGTTGCCTTCAGAAGTTGTGGGTGCTCCATCACTGGAGGCTTTTAAGAAGAGACTGGACAGCCATTTGTCTGAAATGGTATAGGGTCTATTTCTTGAGCAGGGAGTTGGACTAGAACACCTCAAAAGACCTTTCAACTCTGTTATTCTGTTAATTCCTTTTCCATGTATTTCTCATCTGAAGGATGTAGAACAGCAGTAGCTTGAAACCTCTGTTCCTATACCTCCTGGCAACACCAACTACTTTCCCCAGCAAGATCTAGTAAGTGAATAAGGTCCTGAAGTGTGATGATCCTGCTGGATATTTCTCTGATGAGAAGGATAAAAAAGAAGTGGAGTTAGATGTCTAGATACATGAATTGTGTGTTTCCAGTAATGATGAAGCCAATAACTTCTCTCTGGTTGAGTTAAATCCACCATGCCACTAAGAAGCCTCCCATGCCCCCACTAACAACTTCTCAGAAACTTAACCTGAGCAGAGATGGTCATTAAAAATTCAACAGAGCAGAACTCCCTGGATTTTTTAAAAATGATTCCCTCCCCCAAATAATTTAAAAAATCCTATCCAGGTTATTGTTTAATGTTTACAAAGTAATTATCTATATTAGACTTGGAATTATTTACTCTTTCTATACATTACTTGAAAGCAAAAAACCCAACCACTCTCAGACTCTTCAACTTTGAGCAGTTAATGCTGATGTAAGCTGGCAAAGTTTTGTAGAAATAATTCTTACTTGCAATATAATCTTTCTCTATTTCTCCCCCTACCGCTCTCTAACATATAGCTGTAAAGTTTTACAGATTAAACAAAGTTTGTGAAGATAAATCAAAGTTTGTAGTAATATTATTCAGCAAGGAGCAATCATTGGTGAGAACACTAGAATAATCCAGGGCATTGAGACTGGGGTGGAAGAATGTAATTTTGGTCCCACATGAATATTTTTACATTGATAATTTGATAAAGCAAAGTAGGTCCTCAGGCACTGTAGAAAAGTATAGCCAACAATGAGGGAACCAAAATAAGAGCAAGAGTCAGATTATTTATCACATTAGTTCTCAAAATGAAAGGTTCTGAAACATTTATATAGGGATTTTCTTTTGATAACCTATGTGTATAGCCCAGCCATTCCATCCCCAAAACATTTGTGTAAACAACTCTTTTAAAGTCAGGATGCACTGACTTAATTACGTATGGAATAACAGATGATTCATGGACAAAACAGTTTGCAGAATTCAAATGCCTTCACTAAAAGTAGTTGTAAACAACATTCCATTCACTATGAATAAAAAGGAGCTTTTGTTTATTTTATAATTCTATTCACATTCATGAATATAAAGCAATTGAAAAAGTTTACATAAATATAAGTGAAAAGGAAATTTAGCTGTCTTTCTGAAGTAGTAAGATTATGATCTTAAAAGATTTTAAAAAATGTTAGCTTGCTTTCTTCATAGATTTTGAGCATTGTGTGTATTCTATCACAATGTAATATTACTTAATTATTTTTGCAGTTCAGTTCATGTTTAACTGCATTTTAACACTCAATCTGTTAGCTGCTTTGAATATGTTATGAATATAAAGATGGAATAAATTTGATGAAAATGCTACAAATAAAAACCACAAATATTTTAATGCTTAAAAATAGTACATAAAATATTTTGTTCTCTCTGCAATCACAATGACCTCGAAATGGGTAGCCTGAAAAGCACTCTTGTAAAAAAAAAACCCCACCCCCCCATGACTGCATGATGGTCTCATTTGTTCAATAGCTGCAATGGTGACAAAACCAAAACCAAACAAACTATAATAAGGTTTACCATAATATATGAACTAAACCAGTGCAAATAAAACTCTTGCTTTTTCTAGAAAACTGCAAGTTGAATCCAGCCTTACTCAGGCAGATTTGCACTTCAGTGTCAGCCTAATGTGACCGAGAGTTACCCATTATTTCAGTACTAGGAGGTGATGTGTGTGCGTCCATGCGCTCACGCGCTATGTGGATATATTACTGCCTGTGTTTAGGCTTTGTCTTCATAATCCAATTTGTTAAATATGACACTATTGGGTCCCTAGTTTCCCTGACAACTATTTGGCTAGTCCATTCAGCTTTTGAAATGATTTTCAGATAAAAGTCTTCGTGAATGGGGGATCTTCACATTTATTGTATATTTGAAAGGAAGCTTTCTTAGACTTGTTTCTTGAGATCATCTTAACACTGAATATATTATACTAGAAATTTTAACCTGAATCTTTTAGTTCTCGTTCTCTCTCCCTCCCTCCCTCCCTCCCTCTGTGTGTGTGTGTGTGTGTCTGTCTGTCTGTGTATTTGTTTATAGAAAATCATGTCTGGAATGATTTGTTTGTATTTCTCCAGCTGCTCTTGGTAATGTTTACTATTCTAATTTTAAAAGTCTTTAAAGTAAATCACAAATTATTTTACATTTAATGTTACTAGGATTGAAAACTGAAGGACGCCCCTTATGCCCCACAATTGATAGTAATATATTATTTGGAAACACTTCAAAATTATTATATTGGGATTTGCTTTTCAGGGTTAAAACTTGGTATGGAACAAGATACATGGGTGATGATCTCTGAACAAGGAGAAAAACTTTACAAAATGATGTGCAGGCAAGGGAATTTGATCAAAGACCGAAAGAGGAAATTAACCACTTTTCCAAAATGTTTCCTTGGAAGGTATGTGTTTAATATTTGAGTTTAAAAATTTGTCTCATTATTCTAGTTATTATTTATCAAATTTGATAAATAAAATGGTCAGACTATTTAGGATTTCTGCTTTAGTCCACATATTCTCACTTTGACACTAACTAGCAAATTACTTAAGCCAGACTGGGTATTGACTGTTTTACACAATATTCCTGAAAAAAAAAAAGCCAGCAGATATTATATAAATATACCATTTTTTTGAATGATGATATAAATAAATACGATGGTATCTATCTGTCTGCCTGTCCTCCAAGCTTTAAAAATGCAGTATTGAAACTATAAATGTTATTTTACATGTGAAAAAGTAATTGGTGAACTGCCTGTCTTTCATATGAACAGAGTTCTGTCCTATAGTTTAGAATATTAAATAGAATGTGTAATGTGTTACAGTTCACTTTTTTAAATGGATCAACAAAATAGAGTAGCATAAATATATCTTTTTTGGCCTTGTAAAATATAAAATTGTTTTATAAAATATACAGTAGTATTTTATATATGGTATTAAAAGGAGATAAAATAACCATGACCTATAAACATTTCTGTGTGTATGTATGTATGTATATACACACACGTGTGTGTGTATACATACACATGCATACATACATACATACGTACATACATAATGCAATTTTTCATCTTTTTATGCATATAGTTTCAGGTATCATACTGAAGATGAGTGCTATTTCATTTAATTAATAAATATATTGTATAATAAAACTGATTGAATATTGCTTCTAGGAACATCAGATTCTTCCTGCAGCCCAGACATTTGCCTTACCAAACTTTCAATGCAAAACAAGCTTTAAGTTCTAGCAACAGTTTGTATCTGTGGACATTGATGAAGTCTGATCAGATCAGAATTGATAAGGAACAGAGACTTGTAACGCTTGTAACCATAAACTCTCACATAATTCTTAATACCTTCTTCCTGAACTTTGCACAGTGGTTCCCTTACTTTTTGAGACAGAGTACATATGAAAATTATAATGTGAACTGTAAAATGACTTACCATAATTAAAAAACAAAGAAATCTCCCCGAGTGCACCTCAGGAAAAAAGGGGTGCGGATAAAATAAAATACCTGGCCTGGTTCCATTAACTTTGATTTATTAGTTCATCAATTATAGTTTTCAGTTCTTCCAATAATATTAAATGCAGCTCTGGCCATCAACATTTTATTGACCCTTACTCTATCCTAGCTTTTAAAGAAACAAAAAATATGAATTCTACAAACACAAATTTAGATTTTAATCTGATATCTTCTCTCAGAAACATTGTACTCAGAGCAGCTTATTCATGAATAGACATGAATTGGATTACCCCATCAATGAGCAAAATGTATTCTGTTGCTTTTTTTAGGAATTTTACTTCTTTACTACCTTGAACTTTGATATGTTAAAATAATTTTTGTCTATCTGCTTTTTTTCTTAATTAGTGAGTTTGTATCTTGGTTATTGGAAACTGGAGAGATTCACAGACCAGAAGAAGGTGTTCATCTTGGTCAGGCTTTGTTGGAGAATGGCATTATACACCATGGTAAATAAGTTATCTTTTCTAATAATTATTTGCAAGCATTTAAGTTTTTTTTACTTGCCAGTAGATGTACAGAGTACATAATTGTTTATGAGAATGACATTTGTTGCAGGGGTGGGATGCTACCGGTTCTGCCCAGCTCTGTAGAACTGGTAGCTCTGAAGAGTAGCAGACACCGAAACGGTTCTGTGTTTGCTGCTGTTTGGCCCACCCGCCTGCCCTGTCCTTTATTTCCTGCTTTTTCAACCTCAGCTGCTTTGTGTGGCACAGCTGAGGTTGAAAAAGCAGTAAGAAAGTGGCTTTTCAAATGCTGCGCAGCCGCGCACAGTGCTTTTCAGCTGTCCGGGTGGCACACCTTAAGGTTTTTTACATGTGCGCATGCAGTAACACTGGTTGAATCCCACCCTTGATTTATTGTAGCCAAAAGTAACAGAATAAGTCTTTGGAACAGTGAGCTCTTTGATGCTCAGAGTTCGATTGTTTTCTGATGAACTTTTCACTACCAAACTAGATAACATCATCACTATCTTTGGAACAGTTTGGTGTATTATTTGTTCTAGTTTTTATTTTTCAGATTTAGCCTAAAGAATAACCTGTTTTATTGTATCTATTATATCCATGTTGTATCCAAATGCTATTTAAGAACTTATATGGATCTGATATTTTCTCTTTTGTCTTTTGCAGCTTGTCCTACACTTTACTGTTTTTGTTTTTGCCTTGTTGTTATTTTATACTGTTATTGACCAAAATAAAGGAACTTACATATTTACTTATTATTATGTAAATCCAGATGTGCTTCCACAGGAACTGAATTCTTAAAATAAAATTGAATGGCCCATCTGTTTTTGTTCAGAAAATCACTGTGCATGTGAGAGACAATTTAGATTTAAATTATAGCTGTTATTTTCTGCATTTGCAAGTTCCACTTTAAGTATCATTAACAGCATAAGACTTTTATTGATATTATTCATTCAATATTATTTTTATTGACTTGTAATAATTGGTTAACTCAAAACCACTATGAAGTTTGTGGATGTTTTTTAATTCACTTCTTTTTGAAATTTTAAATGGGTCATACTCTTTATCTAATAATAAATAATTAAAATATATGCTTTTCATATCAGAACAGTTGAAGAAAGTAAGAATTAAAGCTTTCTTCAAGTCAAGTTTAACTCTTATTGAGTTCAAAGTCATCTTGAGTGTTTTGGCAGCCAGACAATAGGTAAAGGTAAAGGTTCCCCTTGCACCTATGTGCTAATTGTTCCTGACTCTAGGGGGTGGTGCTCATCTCTGTTTTTAAGCCAAAGAACCAGCGCTATCAGATGACAATTCCATAGTCATGTGGTTGGCATGACTAAACGCCAAAGTCGCCCAGAACGCTGTTACCTTCCCACCAAAGGTGGTCACTATTTTTCTACTTACATTTTTAATGCTTTTGAACAGCTAAGATGGCAGAAGCTGGGGCAATTAATGGGAGCTCACTGTCTTCCTCGTTTGTTTGTTTGGGTTTTTTTGCTTTATGCCTAGCAAACAGCTTTGGGATTCCGTGTAGTTCTCCCATCTTAAGTACAAACCAGTCTACTTTCCAAGTGCAGACAAGGATATGCATCTGAAAAAAAAAACAGAAGTTAACATATCTTAATTAAATCTTTAATATTTTTGTTCTGTTAGTCAAACAAAAGGACAAAGTGATTCAAGGATACAAAAGTTATAAATTTATAATTTTTCAATCATAGATATCAGTGAATATGAATTTTAGCATTTTTGTTTGATTTTCAAATAACTTAAACTCATTAATTGTTGGTAACAGACTAATTTTTGGTACAGGCTAAATATGATCAACATACAACTTGCTTTGTTTAAAATATCCAGATGCTGCATTTAATGTTGATGTTTTTGTACTTTGTTTTGTTTTCTGCTATTGTATAATTAAGTTTGTTTGAAAATCTTCTTTTCCAGTTTAATTGTTTGTTAGGTTTAAGAAAATCTTAAAAGAGCTGTGTATCCTTATATAGGCATTGGATTGTTTTAAAATTGTAATTATGTGTTTGAAGGTGTCTGTGAAAGAGATTATATAACATGACATGGGATATAGTATTTACAGTCATTAAATTGCACTCTGCTGTTAGTGACTTAAAAACATTACTAGGCATTTATTTAGAAAAATGCCTTGCTTTTCATTGCTCCTTTCCAAATTCTGATAGGGATATGATGCATGTTAAGATACAAGCCTTCATTAAATACTAAGTTGTGTTTAGGATTTAAAACTTTTCAGAGTCGAACCTCCAGCAGTCAGTGGAACTATAAGAAAGAAAAGTCAGTAAAAGACAACTGGAGACCAAAAGCTAATGCTGAAACTAATGCTAATGCTAAAACATCCCAAAGCTGCATCTAAGAACAAATATACATCCTCAATATTATACCAATAAATTGTGAGAAAAGACTCAAATTCCTGACCTGACATACACAAAAATAGTTTGTTACTAAGGGGAGGATTGTTGACTTGCTGGAATACTTGTAATACTCCCACATTCTTTTTTAATGAAGCTTGATAATGAGGACATTGTGAGATTTGTTCTTGAGAAAAGGATTTATTTTCAGTTCAGGCAGTTGGCAGTGGCTACTAAAGAATGAGAGAGAGGGATTAAATATTCTAATTTGGCAACCACTTTTGGAATAAATCTGGTAAGTTACAGGAAAGCTTTGGGTTCATAAGTTATGCCTTTTCTATTTTAACTCTTTAACAATTGTAATTTTCCCCATGCAAAGATAGCTGGGAATAATGAGGCATTTGAGTCTTTGAGAAAGGCTATGATGTATAGCCGGGGTGTTAAACTTGCGGCCCGTGGGCCAGATCATCACACTCTGGCCACGCCCACCCCCGGTTTAGTGAAGGGGGAAAGTTGTGATACGTCGTGATTACAATGTGATGTCACAAGTTTGACACTCATTCTTTACAAAATAAAATTCTTGCTAATCAGATTCAGGGCAAACAATAAAATAAAAGCATATGGTGAAGCATAATGATACCCCATTAATCCTATTGTGAAAAAGGGCAAATCCATTACAGCCAATTTTAGGATACAGAATACTTCTAGCACTTTTCATGTATTTTCTTTACGTTAACATATTTTTATGTTTGCTTTTGCATTAGTTACAGACAAACATCAATTTAAACCTGAACACATGCTCTATAGATTCCGTTATGATGATGGCACATATTATCCAAGAAATGAAATGCAGGATGTAATCTCAAAGGTACAAACATACTAAATAGTTACACTATTTAAACATACAAACATTCTGATTAAAAACTAAAAATATGGCATTATAAAACAACATTGGTGTTATAAATTAAGGTAAATTTCCTGTTTTCCTGATGTGCAAAAATAAGGAGATAAAATTATGTTCTGTTGAGCTGTTGAAATGAAAGACAAATTACAGTGTTGTGTAATATAATATTCAAACCTAATTCACTTATTCATTGACACCTAAACCAAATACAAATCTGAGAAAAATGATAGCTTTGTCTAATGAATTAAAGAATATTTGTCCGTACTTCTTCCTGAGAGTTGCTTTACTGTTTAATAATCAGCATGATGTTTAAAGTGTAGTCCTGAAAGCGGTTATGCACTTCTGGTCACAATACTATGATAAAGTAGGATTTATAATTTATTTAGTACAATGCTCTATTTTTCCTACATTATTCATTCTTTCACAAGAACATATACATAAATCAGACATTTTTTTAACATTTTATTATACCAGGATCATAAACCAAGATTTAAAACAGGGTTTGTTAGTTCATAAAGTATGACTTGTTTGTCTTCCACAAATGTGAAATGTTGCTGGTATATTAAAAGAACAAATGAATCAATATTTATTTTTGAAGAAATAGCTATGTGGAATTTTCCTGGATTTCAAATATGCTTTTGAAGGAATTTCCTCTTTCTTATTTTATAAAGCTATTTAAATTAAGGCCATAAATTGCCATTATTTGAGACAGTAACCTGCATAAATATATATGGGCTTTACTTGATATTGAGTAATTTATATTGAATATTGTTCATATACTTTTCAGGGTGTAAGATTATATTGTCGTCTGCACAGTCTGTTTACTCCTGTGATAAGGTAAGTTTGAATTTCAGTTGTTTAGTTTCGTAAGGCTATTAGTAGTTGTTATCCACTTATGTAGATCTTGCTCAATAATTGTTCATTGTTCTAATAAAGAAGACTAAGCTGAAATTATAACCATAGAAAGTCTGCTAGAAAGCAACCTTTTAAAAAAACAATGTCGTTTTATTTTGATTATTGACCAGCAAAGCCTTCAATAAATGGTGTAAGACTAATGCAAGGCACATTTGCATCTACATTTCCCTTTCCAATAGACAGACAAGCATAGAAACATTTTATGTACACACATATATGCACAAACACACACACATACACATACACATTATACATACACGTGTGTGTGAGTGTGTGTGTGTGTGTGTGTATGCATGTATGTATAGGCACGAAGCCTACTGGTTCATTCATAGATAGACAAATAATAGCATAAAAATTATTAGTTAAAGCAATGCATACAATATTTCATTCCAATGCAAACTAAGAATAAGAGAAAAACAATTAATAAACAATACAAATCCTGAAAGAAAAAATTTAAGCCATCTTGGCATGTCACATATATATTAAATATCAAACAATCATCATTTTAAATAATAAACCTTTTGTTCTTCTAGATATTATGAAATGTATATCACAGAGAACATACTACGTTGTTGTGATCAGTGGAAAAAATTGCCTTTTCAAACTGGATAAATTACATACCTTGAATCTAGTCCTTGATGTCCAGAAAATTAATGCTTTTCCAATTTCTCACTCCAGATATAACCAAAGTTTTTAAACAACAGTGAAGTGTCCCACATTTTAGAACATGTCAATGTGACATTAGTATCTTTACTACTGAAAGACTTTCCCCTAAATCTACTTATATACTGTATTAAAATATTTTTCCAAAAAGATACCAATAACTCACAGCACTAAATCATGATTTAATTCCTCATCACATTTTTTGCAGTGCTAACAGATAAAATCTCTTTTCAAATACATTCTTTGGAGCATCCAATAAATTCAAATAGAACGTTTTGATGTACCAGTCTTAAATCTGATGAAACTAATTTAACCTTCTTCCAAGTTTGAAAGTATTGGCCTATTCCTTAAAAAATATTCAAACAATCTAGTCTTCAAGGACCACATATAATAGTCAGAGAATGAACTAAAACATGTTTCCTATGAAAAAGAATTCTAAAAGACGAAGTCACCCACACAAAAAGTTTTCTGTTTTATGAGCCAGCAGGTTTATAGCAATAAAATGACATCTTTATTCTGGACAAAAGTTCAACCACTGGATTTCTGCTTGTTATGTAAAGATAACTGTTTCTTCAATCTGTCAATTTCTAAATAAGGGTTTAGGACACATTTGAATGTTTGAGTGCATGTAAGTATATGTATATATAATCTCATTTATATTTTACTTGTATTTATTTATTTACTTACAATATTTAGACTAGTCTGGAAGGAAGATTGGGGCCAAACATATTTTTGAGAGGCAATGCACTCTGGCATTGTGGTTAATACAAGATAGACATACCTTCTAACTTGTACCTTTCTTACTGTACTAATAGGAATCTTACTATACCTTTTACATAAACCTTTCTGGTAATAAACAAACTCAGTTGCTTTTTCTTTCCACAAAATATGCATGTACAACTTAACCCAAACAAAACATAAATAGTACTTTTTTTAAATGTACCACATAAAATCAAGACAAGTAACAAGCAAGCAGTAAACAAGTAGCAAGCAATTCTCAAACTACAGAATACCCGAAATAAAAAGAATGAATTTTAAAATGTCATACATTAATTTAAGCAAAAATAATGCAAAGTAAACTAGTCATTATTACATTTTCATGATAAAACAAGAAGCAGCAGTTGCATTTCTAGATTCATATGATTGGAAATGTACATTTTTGCCTTTTCTCTTTTTAGGTATAACCCTGTCTTGATATTGTTCTGTATTGTGAGTTTTATTTAAAAAAACCCAAAACATTCCTTAATCTGCCTAATCATAGTCCCATGTCCGTAATATATGTTGCTCAACTCCAAAGAATACAGAGTAGAGTTATGAAATAAAAAATATTAAAGCAAAGGGTTGTTCCAACTGAGAAGCTCTTAGTGGTATAAGTACATATTCAGCCATTCATTAAATTATTTTGGAGTAATCATCATCTCTCTTAGCCCAACCTATCTTACAGGCTTGCTGTAGGAATAAAATGAAGGGAGATTCTAGATAAACCAATTTCAATTTCTGCAGGAAAGGCGGGATATAAATTAATCAGCCAAGCAAAGATATTAAAAATGTATTATTATTTCAAATTTCCTTAATAGTAAGTTTTGTGTTTTGTGTCTGTATCAATATTTTATGTAGAAAGGAGGGGGGGGGAGTAGGAGTATTAAAAGATACAGTTCTAGAAGTCACATATTGCATGTGGAAACATCTATGGTGTATCACATTCAATATTATACTGTAACATTTTCTTTTAGTCCCTCATCAAGATAATTCCATAAATAAAAAAGCCTAGTTTTGGAGATATATGGGACGTTTAATTTTTGTAATACACTTTGAACCTTGTCCAAAATACACAATACTTTAACTAAAATAAAGTGTTATTATTACGAAGTAATACAAACAGAAAATACTTTTGAATAGATGAGGAATTACTTAGGTTATATTTGGGGTATAATGTATGAATATTCAGCTTTTGTAGAATATATATTTTGAGGACAAACTATTTTATGTTTTTTTTCTCCTCAGAGATAAAGATTACCATTTAAGAACCTACAAAACTGTCATAATGGCTAATAAAATGATAGACTGGCTAATTGCACAGGTAGGGCAGTGCTCTGAAGTATATAAATTTGATTAGTAACATGAAATAAATGTAAATAAATTTCCATTAGAAATTAACATTTTTATATCATATAATTTTGTTTTTATATGTTAACTAAGCTACAAATATTTGGATATTATTGGTCATGTGTTAGAGTCCTTGTATCTTTTGAAAGACTTTAAAGTATTAAGCATTCTATTTATCTGCCTATTAAAAAAAAAGTTAGATTATATTATACAAGTATATTTTATTTTAATGCCAAAGTAAATGCAACATACCGAGTATTAAAATATAAATTTAATATCACTTATGTTATGAAATTAAAATAATGGGCATGTATAAGCCAAAATATAGAAATAATTTTAAGTAATGATCATGTTTATTTTTATATATTAATAAACATCATATCTGCAGGGAGATTGCAGAACAAGAGAAGAAGCAATGATCTTTGGAATAGCACTTTGTGACAATGGATTTATGCATCATGGTAAACTATAAATTTATATAAGTTTTTAAAATGTTTTTTTTCAATATAACTTTAGAATCTGATATTGATTCTGTGATAAATAATTTCCCCAGGATATGCAGTATGTAGCATTTACTGGTTTGTTACTCTAACTTTTGTTCTGTGATTTATACTTTAAAAAGTACTATCTAATTACGAACCTCTTTAGAATACCTGTACAGCTTACAGATAGAGTACAGGTAGAGAAAGCTGTATAGTTACAGGTAGAGTCCATTCTTGCTCATCATAAAATTCTACACTGTTTTCTTTGTAAAATTACTTGTTAATAGCTGTGAAAAGTACAATACTACAAGTATCTACTTATTTGTTTTATATGCTTGCATAATCCTTGAAGATTCCTAGAGTTAACAACATAAAAATAACTTACATAACAGTATAACAAAATTACATTAAGAACAATAAGATGTAGTAAGTTACAGTGCAATAAAGCCAAATATGATGACACTTCACCATTCTACAAACACTTTCTGGAAAACCTCATTTTAACCTATTTTCACAATGTCATTAGAATGGGTGCTGCTCTAAGTTCAGGAGGAAAAATATTCCATAATATATGTTCTATTAATAGAAAATAACTCTTTCTGAGATACAGCTCTTCCCTTTCACTGAAGTGGGAATTATTAATAAGAAATAAGGAGTTTATCAGACAGTTCAGCTTGTTTTGGTAGATGCAGTTATTTAATAAATCATTTAGTAAATAAAATTTTCGTTGAATTATAAATCAATATGTCTATAGGCGCTACACAAATATTAACCTTTTCTCTGTCAAATAGTGCTGGAAAAAAGTGAGTTCAAAGATGAACCACTTCTGTTTCGTTTTTTTGCGGATGAAGAAATGGAAGGCTCCAACATGAAACATAGACTTATGAAGCATGACTTAAAAGTAGTGGAAAATGTAATTGCAAAATCATTGCTGGTAAGTTTTTTAAAAATGGAGTCTATATGTTTGTTTGATTTTGATGCTGCTAACTCCTATTATTTGCACATAGACAATGTTATAGTTTGTAGTTATTGCTATTGTCCATCAGCTTAAATCCGCTAGACCTCTCTTGCTGTTTTTTGTACTCTTCAGTTTTGTGAGGAAAATATATATTTACTGAAGAACAACATATAGGTACTTTATAGAGTCCAAAGTTAGTCTGTATTGGTTAAATATTCATACAATGCTCAAATAAATGCATAAGATTAATGTCACAGCTTATGCAGATTAATATATTTGCCAGATGTAATGTTCACAATGGTAACAATCATATAGTAGTAACAGTTGCCTGTCAGCCATATTTATTCAGCATATTGATTTACAATTTTTCCTTTTTCAGATCCTATCAAGTGATGGAACTTATGGTTTTAGTTTGGAAGACAAAAACAAAGCACCAATTGTAAAAATAGTGGAAAAGTGCTCAAATGCTGAGGTAATATAGCCTTGTTTATAACTGTCCCAATTATTACATTTCTGCTCATAGAAAAGTTTACATGTATTTTGACAGTTATTTCAAAGTTTTATTTTAATAATTTTAATTGATTTGTGTATGTGTTTAAATTATTAAAGACTATCCCAGAGCATTTGTAAAATATAAATATTTGTATTATTTTAATAATGTAGAGATTAAAAACATACAATATGGATGATTTCACACAATGCAATTAAGCCATACTGTGTTTTTTTTTAATTTCAGCATAACATGTTGTGAAAATCCAATTATGGCCAACACTGGATATGGCCCTGCTACGTAGCAGGGCTGGCATTTTCAGTTTTTCACATCAGAGTTTTAATGTTTTCTTTTAAATTATGTTAAACCTACTTGAGACTTACATTACATTCTCACTTTTTATACTTCAAAATATGAGTAGGTGTGCTCCTGATTTTCAGCAACAATTATTAGAATGGCTTATTAGGGGCTGAAAAAATAGTGCTTGGGAGTTCTGTACAGACAATTATTATCAGCTATTTACACCTTCATGTTTAAGCTTGTAGACAGTCAATAATTGTAATTTCCTAAAAATTTAAACTTTGATATCTTAAAGTTATTGAAAGAAACATTACTTTTCACATTTCTAATTTTACAATTATAAAGAACTATAGAGAATTATTAGGTGTGTGAAGTTTAAGAGAGCTGAGAAAATTGCTGTGTATAAGGCTACATATTGCAGGTAATTTTTTAAAGGTTACCTAGGTGCAGAACTTTGAGAATCATTTTTGCAGAATAAGAAATATACTTGTGCAATACAATTTTATATATAGCTACTTAAAAGTAGGTTCATGGATAAGCATGTAAAAATTTCCGTATACAATAAATTAATATTGCTTAGGGAATGGTCTAGCAAAGAATATGTATTAAAATAGTCATTCAAGATTATCTGAGCCACCAATAATATTTAAAAAATGTGGCATCTTCCATTATAAATGCAAGATTCACCACATCTCTTTTCCAAAGGAAAAGCTATATATTAAGCTGGAAACAAGGAGGTTAGGGGTTGTTTGAGCCTTAGAGGTCCAGATTTGAGAAAAGTTTAAGCACCATCCTCTATTGCATCTGAGGGAGAACAATTTCTTAACAGCTGACCTGCTGAAAACATAGACTAGTTAACAAATGAACATATTATTGAGCCACCCCCACTTCAAATCCTGTAGCAATGAAGAGAAAACGTTGTGGAGTTACTTGCTGTTCCTAGTCAGAAATTACATCCTTTAAAACAAAATGCTATATGAAAATGGTAGTCAGGAGAACTAGGAATGACATGTCAAGGAAATGCAGGTCTGTAAACAAGAGGCCATTTATTATAAGGAAGAAAGCTTTGTAGATTCCATTAAATAGCTGGAGTTCTGGCTGTGCCTAATTAGAAGAGTTGACTTCTTCCTTCTGAAGAAGTAGCTGTATGAATCCCCCCCCCAAAAAAAAACAATAAATAATAAACAAAATTTATCAGCATATATAAATTGTGTATATGCACTCTGATATGTTTAACATTCGATTTAGCATTCATTTCTGTATTTTTGTGAACCAAGATTAATGCTGAAAAAGAAACTGAATTTCAGGGATAAACTTTTGAGTGTTTGAATGTTTAAATAAATTGATGAATATTCCTAAGTAAGTCCATTTGTTCAAAAAGAAATTTAACCTGGATATGTAAATTTTTTTATAATGTGGCAAGTCAAATATTTTAATCCAGGGTTTTGAAATCTTTATCTACAAACTTACTATTAATTTAAGTCATACATATTCATATGAATTTTTCGTAGATGAATTGTGTTGGTAAATGGATAAGTGAATCTATTTAAATCCACTATTAATTTAAACTTTAAGCTGTCAAGTTTGGGGGAAAAATCTTAAAAATAATAAAATTATTTCCAATAATATTGAATTGCCAGGATTAGTTTTTTTCATAAAGGTATTTTCTGTAATGTTATATAAATTCCACAGTTGTAAATATAGGAATATGGGGATGTTTGAAGCTCTTCTTCTGTGCATGTAAATAATAATAAAGGATCACTGATGTTGTGATGCTTATTGATTATATATGTATTTTGCTTTCTTATCTAGGTGGCAGGTCTGGAAATTGGGAAAAAGATCTTTACCATTAATGGTGACCTAGTTTTTCTAAGGCCCTTCACTGAAGTGGATAGCTTTCTGAAAGCATGTTTAAACAGTAAAAAGCCCCTCCGGGTACTTGTGAGCACAAAACCAAGGGAGTAAGTTATTTCTTTGGTTTTAGAAATTATAAAAATAGTAACTGAAATATGTTACAAAAGCATAGGCATAAATATTATTATGTTAGAAATAATTTAACTAAATTTCATATATTTTAATGATATCCTACCTTTTCCCTCAATTTTATGCAGTCAAGGTGGTTAAACATAAATAAAATGTAAGGTATATTTTTGAATGTTTACTATATATAGGTTAGAACTAATTCAGAAATATCAGTAGTTAAAAGCTGAACAAAAGAAATACTGTATATTTTAGCTGTTCATTGACTGGGATTTAAATGCAACTCCAAAGAATGCATTTCATGGTCTGGCATAGTGCAGGAGATGTTGTCCTTTGTGCCAAACAAGTAAGAAAGAGTGGCTTTTTCTCCTCCTCCTGTTCATTCTGAATAACTTCATTGGATGGAAAAACTGGTGTCGGAATTTAAATTTAAGTTCTTGATATAAAATTGCCTTCCTCAATTTGGCTCTCTGGATTTTAATTATCACACTTTTCAGTCAATGTGGTAAAATCTAACACATCTGAAGGGTGGCTGGCATCAATATATTTATCTAATGCTTTTTGCCATTAATCATTTAATAATACCAAAATATCAAGAAATCATTATATTTGTCATTCTGTTACTCTTCAGTAGCATATTATGTAGAAATGACATTTATTTATCTTTTTGCCTGATATGCCAAGATTTGTTCAGAATGAATGCAGGTAGTTCTTGCTTAGCAACCACAATTGGGACTGGCAACTTGATTGCGAAGTGATGTGGTCACTAAATGAAATGTCACTTGATGGAATTACAACATCACTTCCCATTCAATTGCTAAGCAAATTACCACCAGTTGTCAAGCAGGAAATCACATGACTCTGATTGCAATTTTACTGCCTGTTTCTCCAGTTAATCTGCCCGTCAAAACCTGTTTATGAAGTGTGTAAATGAAGATCATGTGACTGCAACAATCATAAATTTGAGAATTGGTCATAAAATTACATTATCAGTGCTGTTGTAATCATGAATGCATGTGAAACAGGGCAGTCGCTAAGCGAGGTTTGCCTATATACATGCTGGTTATTAGCTAATGATGTTTAAAGCTATGGTCCAGGTTTCTAAGAAGCAAACCTCACTGAATTCAAGATTATTTTGAAGTTTCTTGCTAGTCTGTGTTAAAAGCAGTTGTTATTTTTTCACCGAATGTAAACTTTATTTTTTTAAAATTAAGTACATTATATTATTTTAATCTTATATAAAATTTGAGACATAAACAGAAATGTTGGTGTTAGATGCTTCATTGTGGGTTTTATCTTGCTTAAAGGACAGTTAAGATTCCTGATTCTGTGGATGGTCTTGGATTCCAAATACGGGGCTTTGGCCCTTCTGTTGTTCATGCTGTTGGAAAAGGTATGAAGTAACCTGCATTTATGAATAGTTGGCCAAATGCAATAAATACACAAACAACCAGAATCCTGATATTGATGTTTGAGGAGCATTCAGAATTTGATGCATGGTTCTGAATTTACGTATAAAGAATTAGTAGTGATTTCTATTGTTATATATAGCTACTTAAGAAATCTGATGCTCATACAACCAATAATAAAGGGAATAGTGGGATTTAGCCTCTAATTGCAGACCTAACAAGCATATATTGATCTGATCTTGGTCAGGAGGAACATGTGACAGGATGGATATTTGTCTTAAGGGTTTATTGCTCCCTGTTTTGATTTTACTTATGTGTTTTATAAAGGCAAAATACACTGAGATATACCTTGTGGAGTATATTTCTTTATGAAAACCATGAGTATTTAAGTAAAAGATTTCCATAATAGGAAACTGTAATATCTTGATATATCTTTGACTATGAAAACACTGGGTATATTTTCATATAACTGGAATTAGCAAAATAAGATTTTTTTAAAAGTCCAAGAGCTAATTTTTTACCTTTTTTCGGAAATTCTGTAAAGAGGAAGAGGCACTTATTCATGGGGGAAAGCTGTTTAATTTAGCATGAGAAATTAATACGGTTCTAATATGGTAATTTAGTGTGACATAGGATTTGGGGTTTTATAAATAACTGCTTTCAGACTTCATGGGATCAATGCTATAAATTCATCTTCGGAGAATTTATCCTTTTGAATCTTATTCAGCTGCATTGTTTGCAGCCCATAATTAATCACATTAATTTTGTATAGATTTCTATAGAATAAATCCTTAAAATATGATTATGCTTTTCATCTAAGGGAGTGGACCAACAAAATGCAATGTTTGTATCTTGACGTTTTACCTTTTAGAGGTTGGACAACTACGTATTTAGGATAGCCCCCAGGAAAACGGAATAATTTTTTTCTTACATGATATTCAATGATTCAGAGTAATGTATTTCTAGCTTGTCTTTAACAATGTAGTGTTGGTTCAATTTAATATAATTTGGAATTGAAAAGGACTGTCATTAAAATCAATTGTAATATGGCTTTTCCCTATTTCTAAGTAAATTTCTAACTTAAATTGTTAACTATTTTAAAGGAACTGTGGCAGCTACTGCTGGGCTTCATCCTGGACAGTGCATAATCAAAGTAAATGGAATTAATGTCAGCAAAGAAACACATGCAAGTGTTATTGCCCATGTGACAGCCTGCCGGAAATACAGACGTCCAATGCATGTAATGCTAATTATTTTGTTCATTACATATGTCCTTGTTTTTATTTCAGTGGCTCCATAACTATTATCTATCTTTGGCAGTTCATGGAAAAGCATAATCAGTAATAACACTTCACCATGAATGAATGGAATGGGTTTTTCCTTTCACTTGATATTGAAAAGATGTGGGGTTTCGTTCATAAGAAGGCACACAACATGTCAACTTTTTAAATTTGCCCTGCTATTTGAAAAAGTCTGTGACTTAATTAAAACTGTGTTCTATAAAAGAGCACACATTTTAAAACTTAAATATTAAATGAAAAGATACCATCCTTGAATATTATACTCTTTTCCATTACTCAGGTACAATCTGCAAGTTAAATTAATGGAGATCCTGTTGTTATATATTCAGGGTGGAAATGGAAAAGAAAAAAAACACATAGAGGCATTTTACCTAGCATTAAGTTTGTTTGATAGCTGCTCGGACTCACTTTATTGGTAAGAAGGGCAGCATATCAATTTCATAAACAAACAAACAAACCTTTTATGAGAATATCAGTGACAAAACTAAAATGGAAAACTTCCAGTGGAGGATTGGATATCCATCTAAAACAAAAACTTTTATGCTCTGACTAATTGCATATTATTGAGAATGACTCTGTGCTCCTCCTGATTAACGATGGACTTTTGAATGGACTACCATGCTTGTTCTTGTTTATTTATTTGATTTTGATCTCATTTTGATCTCATTTTATTACTTTTTAAGTAAGATGGCAAATATACATAGTATGCTTGTCTTTCTCCTCCTATTTTCCCTGTGAAGCGGGTTAGACTGAGAGAGTGACTGGCCTAAAAGTTACTTGGCTGGTTTTTCATGCCTAACTAGAGACTAGGCAAGGAACACTTCCCCAACACTTCCTCTTTTATGAGCAAAGAACTGGATAAAGAGTTATGGGATCAGTCATGGCTTCCACTGATGCATAAATCCTGCTTACTATTAAACAAATGGACAACACTGAGATTAAAATACAGTCCTATAACACACTGGTTGATTAGCCTCTTTTTAATTATTATCAAACAATTTCTGTTGATATGCTTCATAGCAAATTGTTGTGAAATGAAAGCTAAACATAAGAGATGATACAATGTGACATTCTATGTGACTGTGTTAGAATCTAAGTTTAAATTAGGAATTCTTCATAAATATAATTTCAATTATATTGAGAAGGAATCTATTTCAATGCTGCAGTTGTAAAAAGCAGTAATACTTGATACTGGTGCTTGACCCTCATTTTATCCCCCACATTTCTCTTTAGGTTATATATTTTAAAATTTGTCAGAATGCAAATTTGTGTGGGTGGGAAGAATAATAATTCTGCCAACCAGTATTTGATTTTTCCCTTATTATATAAATTTAAATAACTTGATTTTTTAAAAATTATTCTCTTAGATACAGCTTCATATAATCAATAAAAAATGAACCATAGACTTCAGCAACAAACAAATAAACCCTGTTCTGTTTCCAGCAGCAGTCCTCTCTTCCCCCATGGAAATAAAATGCAACCTAAATCCACAGTTTTTCTGTTTTTCAAAACCTATATGTATTAAAGTGTTAATGAGCCTTATAAATTATTTGTTATTCTACAGCAAGATTCTATTCAGTGGATATATAACAACACTGATAGTGCTCAGGAGGATTTTCAGAAAACGAATACTAAATCATTGGGTGAGGATGGAGGAGATGCATTTAATTACAAAGTTGAAGGTGGGATTATTTTACTTTTATTATTAATCAAAATAAAAATTTGAATATTTCTTAAAGTATTAGAAGCAAGTACAGCATACCAGAGTAAAACAAGAGGATTGCACATCTCTCTTGAAATGAGATGCATGCCAGCACAGCTGGGATTTAAAGCATCTAGAAATGCATGACGTATTCAGATATTACTTTTGTCAATTACATGAATTAGTAACCGGTAAAGTATGGAATGAAGAAATACAGCCATACTTTAGAGATCTATGATTTTGCTTTTGAATTAATTGGAATCTTAGAAATTATGTAGCACTAGCTAGCCAGTAGAAAACAACAAGGAGGGCCTGAATTTTTGGTCATAATAATTTATTAAATGACTTTGCAATAAAAATATGTGTTTCAGTGGTAGTCTATATTGATTAATCTACATAATAGATGTTTGTTTGTTTTTAGAAGCAATTGATAAATTTAATACTATGGCAATAATTGATGGACGAAAGGATCATGTCTGTCTGACTGTTGATAATGTTCATCTGGAATATGGTGTTGTTTATGAGTATGACAGTACTGCTGGAATAAAATGCCATGTTTTAGAGAAAATGATTGAACCAAAAGGCTTTTTCAGCCTGACTGCAAAGGTATGATATATAAAACATGTATATACGTATGTATTTATATGTTCTTACTGAAGAAAATTTAAAATTATAATAATTTTATTTCAAATCAGTGTTTTGTGCACTTTTGATATTTATTTAAGATTATGAATCATGGTTATCTACTAAATTCAAACCATAAAATGATAAATGCAAAAAAATCTAAGCATCAAACTAGTCCTGAATATTTTTTTTTTGTTTCCCAAAATTATGAGCTAATTTCATCACCCCATTGTATTTTTATAGTAGTTTTAAGAATTATTATTAAAAATTATTTTAATAATAGGATTTAAGAATTATCATATCATTTGGCAAAACATAGGTGGGAGAACATGGTTGGTTACAAAAAATATTTTCAGTTCTTCTATATATTAAGAATTCCTAATTTGATTGTTTTCATAACAACACAACTACAAATAATTTATCTAATAAACAAGACGGATGAGATTGTGTAGTACTAGAAGGAAGAAGATACATTCAATTCAAAGGTGTTATTAGTATATAATCAAATATAATGCTCTAAATATAGATCATATAAAGGGAATTAAGATGCTAAAGAAGACAAAGTACCTGTTTCACCTTCCCCTTTGTCTCAATGTTATCTAAATCATCACAGAAAGACTATATTATTATATATGCAGATAATATTCCTCCTTAATTAGTCCAGGATTTCATTTCACACAAAGGAAAAGTCTTACCCTGTTTTTCTTTCTCTCAATATTAAGTCCATTATTTGATTAGCTTGCTGGCATTAATAGGGATGTATCTATATCTATCTATAGTATGTGTCATCAGTGGAAATTGTCACTTCTTCTGTTCAGTCTCAAATGGTATTGTAAGAGGATCTCTCTACATTTGATATTTGACGAGAATTCAAAAAATAATTGACTAGTCAATGCAGTTTGCAGAGACACTGGTATTCTTTTTTCTAAGAATTTGAAAACCATGAAAAAATAACACTTCAGAACAGACATAAGAAATTTGTCCTTACTCCAAAACATTATTCATCTGCTAGATTGTAACAATATATGCAACTGCTGCTGCTGCTTCTCTCCATCCTCAATGTACTGTGATGTTGCCTCCATTTTCTTGCCACTGTTTTTTTTTTTGAAAATTTTATTGATTTTTAAAAACAAACATAAACAAACAAAACACAGAACATAAAAACATAAAACATCTTTTTTGAAAGCAGCCTGATCCCGGGTTACATCTCTAAGTGCAGACACAAATTCAAATTCATGCTCATTTTTATATTCCATTCCATATCTTATTACCATTCTCCATTTTGTATATAACTTCACCCCTCTTTCAACTTTCTTAATTTTATTTTATTTATTTCATCTCAATTTAAATCATCATACTTATATTCTTTGTCTGTCCTATTTCAGCTATCTATTATCTTTTCTCATTGAACAAAATTTTTCCTGTAATCACTGATTGGAGTATGATGCCTTTATATCTTTCCCCTAAAAATTGTGACATTTAATATAATACATAACTTCCATTAGGATTCTGCTTGGTACATTCTAAAACTACACAATGTATTTTTAAAAAAGGAAAAGATTACAAATATATAACATAAATAAAACAATCAGTACCAATTCAATTCTATCATTAATGTTGATATTCATTTAAATCTTAAACATTTTACGCATTGCTTTTCAAATAAGTATCATACTTCTATGCTTTCCATAATTACTTCGCTCCCACTTCACTTATGTTTTATAAAATGTTGAGTAGTTAAAATGTTCCCATTCCTTCCTAATTCAATTCTCTCATTTATTTCATTTCATTTATTTTATTCACAAAAGTTTCACTAAATTACACTATTTTATTTCACTTTTTAATCATATGTTGTTTCCAATTTTCTAACATTATTTCTATTGCAAATATAACAATACAATCTTATGTACCTTTACAGAATCCCTTTTTCAGTTAAATTTTCACCCATTATCTCTGACTAAATCCTGTTTCTTTACATCTTGCTCCAAACCTTTGTAACTTCTCTTCCCTTGCTTCTTCCCTTTCTTCTCTCTGTCCTTTTTACCCCTCTGTCTCTCCTCCATTTCCCTCTTCTGAATTCCCCTTTTCTGTTGCTTTCCAACATTATATCCCCTTTTCACATTATTTTTCCCTTTTTGGGCTGTTTTTTTAGGTCTTAAATTCTTCATTCTCTTTCCTCCTTTTCCCATTTCTTTCCCAGATAGAATTACTTGTTCATTAAAAATGGCTTCTTCTTTGTCCCAGTCTTCTTGTTGCGCAGTCTTTTCTTGCTGTTTCTGATAAACACCAATCGCCATTTCTAAGAATTTAAAAATGGAACCAGAGGAGCCCTTCCCTTCTTGTTCCTGTTCTTTAAGTTTTTTAAATTCAATTTTCAGTTCATCCAGTTCATTCCGTTCATCCAAAAGTGATGCCATTAGAGAGTTTTCTTTTTTTTCTTTTTTAAACAACCACCCAATTGTTTTCAGTCATTCAAATGTGATTTCCAAAAGTTCCAAAGTCACCAAACAATCCAAATACACAAAACTGTTTCTTTTAACACTCTCTTCTTTTTTCATTTTCCCTTCTTGGGGTTACTATTTAGTTGCAAAGTTCCAGTTAAAATGTATCCTTTAGAAGTCTTGTTAAGATTTAACTTTTAAATTATTTTGAATTCCAAGCAGTCTCCTCCTTTGAAGTCCTGCCCTTATTCTTTTCCTCTTCCTTCCCACTTATAGCAAAAAAAAGGATTTTTAAGCGTTCAGAAATCTTTATTGTCCCTTTGGCATTTATTATATTTCCAGTTTAATTACCTGTTGGTACCAAAGCGGATTTTTCCAATTTCTTTATTCAAATCTTCTCATTGTCAGCGTGAGGAAGGAGAGTGAAGAATTTTTTTTTCCCTTTTTACTTTCGTTCGCTGCTTCCAGCTCTTCTTTGGGAGCGATGTATCTTTTGCAAAATTTAAATTCCAGGGTATCTTAGCTGTTACTTTTTGTCCCGGTCAGCCAAAAACTTTCACTTCTTAACTTTCTCCTGCACTTTCTTTTCTGGCTGAGTGCTTCTTTGAGGCGGCCATTTCTGACTGCTGCTCTACCGCCTTCGGAAAAGGGAGTTTAGCCAGCTGAGGAAGAAAGATGCGGCTCCCCTCAAACCTCACTGGGTCTCCCCTGTCTTCACCACCTCTACGGGGTGGCTCAGCCTGGAAGCCAACTGGCTCGGAGCACTCCAGCAGCGAGCCCAGGCAGAAACCGCGCTGTTTTTTTTAACTGTCACCTTTCATTTATTTTTTAAAATTTATATGCTACCTATCACACTCTCCAAAGTGACTCTGGGAGCTGTTGCTGCAGCTGCCATCTCCATGCTTCTTAACTTTGGAAAGTGCTACACTGGCTTGTCTCCTATGTAGACATGATGCTGTGGAAAGGAGGAGATGGAAAAAACTCCTTCCTGCAAGTATGATATTGGATGAATCTTACTTATTTTTACAAAAGATTTTTTGTGGAATGTATCTAAGGATGGGAAATGGACAGGACTAATGGCCATGCACACAGTGTTTGGCCAGCTGAATTGATTTATATTGTTAAGAGTCAAAATAAATGCTATTTGCTTATATTTCTAATATAAATGGCCTTAGCTTAAGAATAGAATGTTTGCATAATATATCATACATCATAGTATATACAGAGGTTTTTATAAGTCTGTTTCAGTCGCTCCATCCCTTATCTGCCTATTTCCGATACATATTCTTTTAAATTCTTCTGTATAGTGCAGTGTTGGTGTGGTGTTAGGGGTTTTTGGTTCAGTGTGTGGAAAGTGAAGGATGTGTGTTTGTGTTTATTTTCATGGTCATGGTCATGATAGGCACTTAAGATGATGTTTGATTTTGTTGTACGAGGTGCAATGACAATAAAGTAAACTAAACTAATAATTGTTTGTTCTGTTAACTCCTATAGACAGTTTTTGCTAAATTAGAGAGGAGGATAGAAAGAAGGACAAATCATTTTCTTGAACTGCTTAGATATCCAGCACCTTGGTCATGTTTCTATATGTTGTCAATCTCGGACTTTTTTTTTTTCAATAAAGCTCAGTTTCTTCCACTAATCAATCTATTGTGCAGATATTCCTTCCTGATTCTACTTGTACTTACTACATTCTTAGATGTTTCTTCCTCCTTCTAGGAGCATTCTCTCCAGTTCTATTGCCTATTTTTCTTCAGTGGCTTCAATGCCCTGCTCCTTGATACAATTGAGTTCACAATGCACAAACAGTTTACCGCTTACAAATCATGTCCTAGAAGGCAGAATGCTTCTGTCATTGCTCACAAGAGTTTTAATTAATCCAAGAATTTCAAATTATCTATGTGATCTTTTTCATGGTAAAATAGACGGAACTCAAACTTAGGACAAACTGCTCACAGTCTCAAAATCCAAATCTGAAACCTGCTTAATAAATTAGGTTTTTAAAAAAATTTAAGCCATAATAATTGGAGCAGTTGGTTTCACAAATATTAGTTTTGAAATATCAACATGTACCCAATGAAGAAAAAATTAAATATTAAATACTTGATCAATACATAAGGATAGATTCATCACATTCCTCACATCCCGGACATAAACTGTTTCAACTCCTTCCCTCAAAACGACGCTATAGAGCACTGCACACCAGAACAACAGTTTTTTCCCGAAAGCCATCACTCTGCTAAACAAATAATTCCCTCAACACTGTTCAACTATTTACAAAGTCTACATTTCTATTATTGTTAATCTTCTCATCACTCCTTATCACCCATCCCCTCCCACTTGTGATTGTAGCACTGTAACTTTGTTGCTTGTATCCTTGCGATTTATATTGACTGTTTCCTAGTATGATTTGATTGTTGATTGTACCCTATGACTATCATTAAATGTTGTACGTTATGATTCTTGATTCTTAACGAATGTACCTTTTCTTTATGTAAACTGAGAGTATTTACACCAAATTCCTTGTGTGTCCAATCACACTTGGCCAATAAAGTATTCTATTCTATTCTATTCTATTCTATTCTATTCTATTCTATTCTATTCTATTCTATTCTATTCTATATATTAGGGCTGTGCTATGAGAATTAATAACCTTAAATAATTATTTTTGTCCTAATAGATCCTTGAAGCTCTAGCAAAAAGTGACGAGCAATTTGTGCAAAACTATAGCAGCTTAAATAGTATACATGAAGTAATTCCTACCAATCTTCAGAGCAAATTCAGTGCCATTTGCAGTGAAAAAATAGAGCACATTTGCAGAAGGATTACAAGTTATAAAAAGGTAAAGGTTGTAAATTTGCTTAGAAGAAATGGTAAAAATATTCAACTGGAACTAAGTATGGGTAAACAATTATGCTACAATTACAACTGTAAATGTGTAGAATCAAAGTGAATACATTTAGAGAGGATTTTTATGATAAAGTATACTTCAAAGTATGCTTGGGAAGGTTTCTAATCTTGCAAAGTAGATTTTGAGAGTGTACTTGTTAAATGGAACAGGATGACATCAGAAAAAATGTTTAGCAACAAACTGGCCTTATGTTTTCTGTGATTCCTGTGCAATTAAACTTTCTGTGATAGATAAAATATTACTGGTGTAATATTGATGTGTTATAAAAAAATTTAATAATATCTGTAGTGTCCAGAATATGAATAGCAAGAGCATATTGGACAAAGTGCATGTGGAGGAGGTAGACATATTTACCAAACTAGTTGTAAACCCACATATTCCCCATCTGCTCGGATAAGATCTTTGAAAATCTATGAACATGATGCATACTTATTTTTTTCAGAATGTTTTCTATTTGATGTTGGATGTTGGAATATGTCTTATTGTAAGGATAGTTTATCTTTATTTTTCAGATGGAAACAGATTGTCAAAAATGTGATTAACTGTGCCATTAGTTTCAGTGTAAAAGTTTGAAATTTATAAATAATTACGCAATGGCTTTTTAGTATTACCTTATTACTGCAGCATCAATTTAACTAAATAACTTTGTAATTTCATGGGCTATAGAATATTCAGATTAAAACAAATCAGATATGGATATCAAATGAGAATAGAAATGATGGATGAGTGATTGGTTATTTTTCTCACTTTTGGAAATGAAGCTTGTAGCTCACTCTATTATAGTTATATAAGTTGGGAAGTTGGTATAATTTGTGCTTATCAAAACATAGAATCTGTTCAAATTCCTGTTGTGGGTGCTACATTTGATTCTTTGTAACTGATATTATCTTTAACTCAACAGAGGTGTGCCATTCTCACTCATTTTGATGCAGAATTATCCGTATTTCCCTGAAAATAAGACTGGGTCTTATTTTCTTTTGGGCCCCAAAATAAGCACTAGGACTTATTTTGGGGGGTGTCCCTTTTCCCCTCCCTGTACGGGAGGCCCATTTCTGCTTGCTTGTGGTGGTGCCATGGCTGTAAGGCAAAGTGGGAGACGGTGGAGCTACCCCATTTGCCCTGCAGACAGGTCATCTACACCCTGACACCTTCCTTGCCTCATGGCCTCGGCACCACCACACCGCTCAGCCTCCTGCTCCTTTGAGGCTGTGAACAAGAAGAAGTGGGCCAGCGGCCATGTGGGCACCTGCTGTTGCTGCTGCCACGAGTCAGGTGTTGGGGCATGGATGTTCTGGCTGTGGGGGCCCTGAGGTAAACCGGTGCGGAGCATGGGGCAGCTCCACATCCATTGCTCCTTGCCTTGTGGCTGCAGCATTGCAAGCAACCAGAAGGAATGGCCAGACAGCCGGCTGCATAGGTTTTTAAGTAGTGTTATTTTGAGATAGGGCTTATATTCAGCGCACAAGTAAAAAACATGCTACAGCTTAATTTTTGGATAGGTCTTATTTTTGGGGTATGTGTTGTAGAAACAGAAACTCTAAGTGCAAAAATAAGAGCCTGAAACAATACTTTTCTCACATCTGAAAAATGAGTTGCTAAAGTTGTTATGTAGTTCAAACTGGAATCTTTAGATTCATACGTTTTCCTTTTGGATTTATCTGTAGTTTTCACGGGTCCTAAAAAATCGAGCTTGGCCTACTTTCAAACAAGCTAAGTCAAAGATCTCACCATTGCATAGCAGTGATTTCTGTCCAACTAATTGTCATATCAATGTTATGGAAGTCTCATATCCTAAAACGTCAACCTCACTTGGTAGTGCCTTTGGTGTTCAACTTGATAGCAGAAAACATTTTTCATATGAAAAAGAAAACAGACATATGGAGCAAGGTAAACAGCAATGTCTATCTTTAAAAATTTGTTTCTTTCCTAGCATGACAAGAAATGAAGAGATTGGGTTAATTTAGAGGTATGGAATGTTTTAACTGATACCATTATTAAAGGTAAAGAAGAAATTTTTGTTCAAGGACTAATGATTTTGGACTGTTCTTGCTTTATAAACCAAATACTATCATTGCCATCCTTTCACCTACCTTTTCTACTTGGAATTGATGAAGAGGGGAATCCATTGTGCAAGGCATTTCTCCTTGAGGTTGTCTTGTTTATCTACATGGAGGAATGTCTGATGCTCCCTCTTAAAGAGCAAGCGGCAGAGATTGACTGCAATGGCTACAGTTCTTTGGAGGAGTTCCAAAATTTTCAAGCATCCAACTCATTAGCTTGTTCTTTGGGAAAGAGAAAAAATATATAATATGGGAAATTGTCACTTTGACACTCTATAATGGCTAGTTTGGTGTAGTGGTAATTGCAGACTTATACATAGAGCTAAGTCACATCCATACATATGATTTTCCATTGTAATTTTATTTATTTAATTGTCAGAGCCAAATTTACTCTGTAATCACTACAGTATTGAAGGATTTTTATTTTGTGATCTATCTAAATTACTGCTTATTTCTTCTTCCTTGAATAATTAAATGGTCACATTATGATTGTAGTAACAGGAAGCTGCAAATATTTATCTAATTCAGCTATTTTTTTCATCAGAGCAAGTGTCCTATTTAAAGTGAGTGCCATCTTTGCTAAATAAGTGGCACATTTTTTTTTGAAATAATCATTGAACAAGCACTGAAAAGAGGGGTGTTGAGGTCATTGTTTGTTTGCTTAATTTACTCCCCTGCCAGCTGAGAAGTAATCATAATAATTTGTGTGTCTATGTCAGGCTGTCTATTTCTGTCTCTAGTTTTTGCTAAAGTATAGAGAATTTTTTTTTTCAAAAATTCATGTTTTTTTCAGTATTTATATTGTGTAATCATTTCTATTTTAATTCAGATTATTCTGTTTCATTAACTTGTGGATAATGTTAAAAAGTGAATTATGCATGTAAAAATGAATTAATTTTATCACATGTGGATTTTCAGCATTATGTTTTGCTTGTGTTCTGAATGTGTGCAAACTATTGAATGTATGAAGTGAGCTGGATTTTTTTTGCATTTAAATTAATTGAGTTATAATGAATCTAAATACAGCATTTTATGCAATATACTTTTTCTAGGTAAACTGAATCCCATGGTTTATATACAACATACTATAACAACCATGGCCGCTCCATCAGGTCACTCATTAGGTCAACAGGATGGCCATGGTTTAAGGTACCTGTTAAAAGAAGAAGATTTAGAAACACAAGACATCTATCAGAAATTGTTATGCAAATTACAGAGTACATTAAAGGAGGTGGAAAACTGTGTTTTTCAAATAGATGAGTAAGTAATCCTAAGGTTTAAGATTTATGTATTCGGATATTAATACATATGTTAGCTTTCCAGAATTATAGCTTTAACATTTGGATTTTTGTTGGAGAACCATAAGTCTGTGATAAACATTACCATGCTGCCTTTGCATATTCAGTACTTGATATTTGTGGATTGGAAAAATTCTTATTCAAATAAATCAAACCATTCAATAACTCTCATTTCATTAAGACAACTCTAATAACAAATAGAAATAACTATGGTCTTTTGAATTTCTTCCAGTTGGAACAGAATCTGGCTTTAATTTAAAACTTTAAAATATTATGTGTGTGGAGTTACTGAACAATATTTGCACAGAGTAATCCATGATTTGATGCTATATGAGCCTAGTCACATTAGATTCCTACTTCTGTTTTAAGAGTGTGCCATGTCTGCATTTACAGATTTTCATACAAATTAGAGGGATGCATTATTTTTAATTATCTTTATTACATTTATAAATTTCAGCCTTCTCTCTTCAATAACATATTCTCCAAGTTCACAACAAAAAAATCATGAATTGTTAATGTCAACAGACAGTGATAATGAAAAAGGAGAACGTAATGGAAAAAAAGTATGCTTCAATGTAGTATGTGATGAGCAGGAAGATTCTGGTCATGACACTATAAGCAACCGGGATTCTTATAGGTAATGTATCATTTAAGATATCATTTATTATAATAATAAACACCAAATTTACAATTTACTGTATATAATGATATAATGTTAATTTTTAAAAAGTCTGTTACATAATGTTCTTAAGTAATACATATCATTACATAGCATTATTAAGTAATACATATTTAGTTAATAACACATTTTTTCCAAGTAAAGAATGTGTACTTGTTTAATGTATACTTTGAGGCAAACATGCCAAATGTGTACCTTCTGATTTAATATACTGATACGAGTTTCCCATTGTCACAGCCATTCCTCTGTTTTGAAAGATATTATCCTTTTTAGAGGATTTTTTAGAGGACTCAGCTGTTAATACATTTTCAATTAATTTAAACCCACTTTCCTCTTCAAATGTAGCTTTTAGCAGTACATTGCAGGGCTTTAAAAATATACAGCACTAATGAATTTTTTTTAATCCCAAGACACAAAATTTATTGTATGGCTTATTTAATAGTACAAATCATGCTAATAAAATATTTGAATGAAATGCCTAAAAATAGGTATATTCTTGAAGGATTTATATACTCTTACATTTTTCTTCTTTTTAGTGATTGCAACAGCAACCGAAATTCTACTGCTTCTTTCACCAGTATTTGCAGTAGCCAATGCAGTTCTTATTTTCATAGTGATGAAATGGATTCAGGTACTTTTCAAATGTGTTTATGTGTACATATTTATATAGGGGAATGTATGTGAGTTTTGCTTACTAGAACGTGTGTTGATTGATTTGAACTTGTGTACTGTCATAATTACACATTTATGACAAATTAAGTCATAAAACACTACAATAAAAAATCACATCATAACACTCATTGAAAATATTATAGCAGTAATTAAGCAGCAATGAAGTAAAGATTTCCCAAAAATTAATGTATGTGATGAAGTTGGAAATAATGTCCTTCTTTCACTTAGCTGCAAGCATTTTCTTTATTCAGAAACTTCATTTCCATTTAATTGAACTGGGTAGGCGAGATATATTAAACTAGTTTACCCATTATTAACTCCCATCTATGGGGCAGACAAATTATACTTGAAAATCAGGATAGTTTTCTATAGGCTGTAGAAAGAAGGACAAAACAAAAGATGGAGTTACTATCATACATCTGTTTTTTTTTTCATCCCACTGAAACACTCTAAACACTTACAGTAAAGGATGAAAAATGTTGGATGGAATATTACTATAAATCTGAATGAAACTGGCAATTAAGCTATAGGTACTTGAGTCAAATGAAGAAAGTCAGACTGGAAGTAATTACCTTTTTCCAAAAAGAGGAGGAACCCCTTCTCTGGTAGCAAGCTTAGCGCCCCAGTTGTATTTCTAGATCTTTTTCAACATCAAGATAATTAAAATATGGAATATGAATATTTCTGATCTAAAGTCAACAATGATTTCAAATATTGTCTTATTAGGTGATGAACTCCCTCAGAATATCTGCATTTCTCATGATAAACAGGATAAACTTTATGGTTGCTTGGAACATCTTTTTGGTCAGGTAAGCTATTTCATTTCAGTTTTTTTCTGCCCTATAACAAGTGACAGAATTATGAAAGTGTTGGGAAGGAATTGGATAAGATTAGAATCAAGGTGAGCAAAGTCAGTAACTGTCTGGCAAAGTGAACAGGCAAAAAGGGAGTCATGAATAAAGTAAGCCATGCTGGTTTCTGTTATGCTTTTACTATGCTATGGTTTATTTAAGCAGCAATTATGAATAGACTAGCTCACAGGTCACAACCAAGAATAATCATAGTTTTCAACTGCACACTAAACTAAGGCAAATAAATCACATTTCACATCTCTGCAAGGAACTAAAGTTAGCTGAGACTTGACACTGGTTGAGAAAACATAAGAGTGGTTAGTGATTTTCCATAGGCAAGCTTATTGAGATGTTAAAATCTTGCCTATTTTCCATAGGCAAGGTTATTGAGATGTTGATTCTTGTTTGGTTTTGACATTTTTGATTTGTCTGCTAAGACCAAAAATGGAGGCAGATTTGTCTCCCCCAATTGAGTTCAAACAAAATTCATAATCGTGGATCTCCCACATCTCTGTTTATAGTTTCTTCTAACAAATGCCTAGGTTTTCCCTTAGATCTCACATATATTATAATATTTTAAATCAGATTGAAAGGATTATCAGAATAAACTTTTTAATATTTATCAATCATTTCTGAAACCAACAGGTAGATTCAATTGTTAATCTACTGAAAGGTCCAGCAGTGGCAAGAGCTTTTGAGCAAACCAAGTTCTTCACCCCTGGTCGAAGTTTTCAAGGTATTAATTTTGCAAAGCTAAGTATGACAGTGAGCGTACTTTCTAGCTCTTTTATTAGCAGTATTATAGTTAACATTTCTTTAAAACACAAAATAAAAATTAGAAATGTATTTTGTATTATATTTAGAGAACCACCGGCTGTAAACATTTTATGGGCCTTTTTTTAGCACACAGATTGCTGTGGCAGAAGGATTGTGAGAAAAAAACCAATGAAAAAAATTCATTGGTTCTTATTGTGTTGTGGAAGATATATTCAAGTAAATGCAATAAATATTAAACATTTTGAATAAATCTTTTTAAACAACAGTCTAAGTTTGACCAATGTTTTTTATTATTCTCACAGATCACATTTTCATTTTTCCAGATTTTTTTTTCATAATCTGCATTTTTTTGCCATTTTTGCCACTCTGCTGGAAGAAGGGAAGGAAGTGTGTGTGTGTGTGTGTATGTGTGTGTGTGTTTCTCTATGTTTCTATGTGTGAGAGTGATTTTATGTGCAGAGAAGACAATGGTTGGTATATGCCAACAGGAATCTGTTGAGGTATTCCCTGTTAGGAGAATGAGTGCACTCAGGGAAACGTAGTGAGAATGATGTTGAATAACACACAACCAGCACACAGATACACTGAATAGTAAAATGTAGGTTTTACTTCCAGTAAACGGGTAAACAAAGTCCAACAAATAGTCCAAATCCTACACGGTCAAAGCAGTTAGTATCAGTCCAGGGATAATCCAAAAACAAAGTCAAGTATCATAAACAGAATTATATTCCTTGTGAGGGAATATGCACCCATGCTGGAGCTCCAAATGTATGTAGATAACTTAAATTTGGTTTTCTGTCATGCCAACGAGTGAATGGCAATTCACCAGTTGTTGTGTTCACCACATTGTTTAACACATGGTTGCTACACATTATGGCCTCACCCCATAGTGTTTCAGGCAAACCTGAATCAGATAACATAGTATGAGGCATGGCTTGTAACGTTTGCCCTCTTCGTTCTATAAACAAGTTATGTTGTGGCCTGTAAAGTGCAGAACACTTATGCTCGATACCAGCCAATTTTAACATCGTTTGAAATCTATTGTTAATAAACTCAGTCCCGTTATTAGTAACTACAGTAATTACCTTATGTTTCATTTTTCTTTCTGCAAATCTTAGCCAATTAAAGAAACGTTGGAACGTTTCTGTTTTGTTTTTCATTAGATAGCAGAAACCGTACCATGAGTAATGGTCCATTATACTCAAAGCATAGCAGGCACCTCCCAAACTGGGTTTCTTAGGACCAATTATGTCAGCAAACACAACCTCTAAAGGTTCTTTGGTCTTAAATCCATTCAGTCTGTTTGCTGGAGTAACCTTGCTTTTCTCTTGATTACAGGCATTACAGTTTAAGTACTTGCTACAGGGTTTTAATTGTACTCCCTCTGACAATTTAACAGTTTGTTTCAGCATTTTGAAATTAATGTGCCCCATGCAGTTATCTATGCAGTAAATGTATATATTTGTCATGTGGCTTAACATTGTTATAAACCAAGTTAGCCATCTGCAACTGGTCATCATGTATCACATATAAATCATTCTCTAAATTAGCAGTAACACTTTTACCCTCTTTCTCTGTTATACAGTTACTACATATTAGGTTACTAATATTAGGTTACTACATATTAACTAAAGCCCTTACTGATAACAAATTAAATTTCAGTTTAGGTACATATAACATAGATAAATGGTCATTTACACATGAACAATATGCAGTACCTTGACCAGATGCTTTCATCTTCCATCCGTTTGCCAATGATACATGTTGCTTACTCATGGACATGTTTACAAAACTCTATTTCTAGTAATGCACTGCAATGTTCCACTATCAACTACCCACAAATCATAGTTTACAATTGAATTGCTAGACATAGCTAAATTAACATTCTTCTTAGCCTTCTGGTGATTACCAGTATTCTGTCATTTTCCCTTCTTACAGAATCTAGCTATATGTCCCCTAGTCCCACAAGAAAAATATTTCCTAACAGTATAGGCAGTGGAAAACAAATCCTCTTCTTGTGGTTGTTTCTCTCTCAGTTGGTCTCTTTCAAGCCTTCTTCTTGCCTCTTCTAATAATCGTCTAGCTATGTCATTCAGTGTCAGTTCATTTCTGGTCAGGACTTCCAGTGAAGATACGTAATCATCATAACTTTCATCCAATGAGGAAAGAATGATGTAAACCTGATGCAGTTCTGGAAAAATCAGTTCCTTTTCATGTAGCTCTTGAGAAGTTCTTTTCATGAAGTTCAAATGAGCTAACATATGTCCACCTTTCAGAAGACGTGCTCTAAACAGTTTATGTGTAAGATGTATGTGTGCACCTACACTGTCACGAACATAAATCCTCTTCAAATTCTCCCAACGCCTAGCAGCAGACTCTTCTCCACAAATATGGACTAGCTGTTGGTCACTCAGTGTTAGTCCAATTATACAAAGAGCTCATTCATTGTTTCATTTAAAGTCAGTAAACGGGTAAACAAAGTCCAACAAACAGTCCAAATCCTACACGGTCAAAGCAGTTAGTATCAGTCCAGGGATAATCCAAAAACGAGGTCAAGTATCATAAACAGAGTTCAGTAAATGGAGTTTGCTAACCGTTGCAAAAACTCACAGCAATCCAAGTAGAACGATGATCAGGCAAATACGGCAAAACAGGAAATGCAAGGAGAAAGAAACAAGGTTTCTGGCTCCATCTTATGGCCATTGAAGGAACCTCAGCCAATCACACTTACAGCATTCTCTTAAAGATACAGTATTAAATAACTGTCCTGGTTTATATATTTCCAACCCAACTGTTAGGTGACTATCATTCCTAAGAGAATCATTTAATGTTGTTACCTAACTAATTTTAAGCAGTTATTGCACTCTCTGTCACACGGAGACACTTTTCTTTTTCCTATTCCATTATTCCCTTTTTATGAGTATGCCTTCAAGCGAGAATGTATCTTTTTTGTCTCAACATTAATATCCGTATCTACTTTCATTCAGACATACATAAACCTATATATGTGTGTGTGCGTGTGCATGTGGGGTGTGTGTGTGTGTGTATGTGTGTAGAAGGAGAGAAATGGCAAAATTCAGTTCAACTGAATTGTCAATTTTATGATGACAAAGTGGGAAAGAAATGTTTGTTTTCTGTTTGCTCTTCATTTTTAGGAAAGATCATCTTAAATTCTTCTTTGGGTATAAATAAATTATACTTATGCCCAGTGAGAACGATTGCATGAATACAATCCCCAACCCAAAATTGACTTAGAAAATAAGGTGTAACTGAATTCTCTCCTAAATATGGGAGTCCAGGGAGACTTGTAAAAGTCTATTCAATGTTGCAAGGCTAGGATGACATTCTTCTGCAAATGTACAACTGGAAAGTAGTATAACCTTATAATTACGAGGGCTGTCCACAAAATAGATTACATTTTCGTCTGTAGCAAGAAGGGGCGGAGCTAGCACAGCCATCTTTGGTCTGTGCGTCCGCCGCTCAGTCTGCATCTAGTGCTAGTGGGAGGTTTGTATCATTGCCCGTTATTTCACAGCAAACGTTTGAAATGTGTGCTGCAATTGAAAATCCCGCGAGTTGTGAGGTGCAATCAGTGATAAGGTTTTTGTTGGCAAAAAACCATAAACCGATTGAAATTTTTCGGCAACTGTGTGAAGTGTACGGGGACAACATCATCACTGAAGGTGGAGTGTGCCAATGGTGCATTAAGTTTAAAAATGGCCGAACTACGGCACTCGAGAAGTCCTGTATGCTTTCAAGTGGGAGATTTTTCCTCATCCACCCTACAGCCCCAATCTTCCAACAAGCGACTACCACTTGTTTCCGAGGATGAAGACCTGGCTTGGAACACAGCGCTTTGACGATGCAGAACTGCGGGCGGGCGTGATTGACTGGCCCAAATCTCAGGCGGCTGAATTTTATGACAATGGAATTACAAAGCTTGTTCACTGCTATGATAAGTGCCTCAATTTGTTTGGTGAATATGTTGAAAAGTAGTATTTAAGTGTCACTTTCAAGTGTATGTAATAAAAAATTTTTCCTACACTTTGTTTTTTTTCTATTGCAAAACGTAATCTATTTTGTGGATAGCCCTCGTATACTATAAGGTTATACTATAACATTACAATCAGGTAAAAATATTGTAGTGAAATTAATAATTCTGATTTTGCCTAGAATTTCAGCAAGAAATTGAACTTAAGGTGAACTGCCCAAAGAAATTGAGGCTTCACATTAAACAAGATCCTTGGAACCTCCCCAGCAGTGTTCAAAACCTTTCTCAAAGCATCCGAAAATTTGTTGAAGGTTAGTAATTCATCTACAGCAACTCTTGTTGTATGCTTCTTAGACAGAAATTCTGAAATATAAAAGAATGTTTTGATAGCTTTTCAGATGTTTCATTAACCAATTGAGTATCATCATTGCAAGTAAGGGTGGGGAATTACTCCATTTATATATAGTAGCTTGCCCTCCCAATATTGTTGGGGTTGTGTTTTTTTCCTTGGTAGTTTCATGTCTGGGGTATTGTTTTCTGCTTGATCATTTGCTGGTGTTAATTTCTGCTTATCTGGGTGTTGGCTGCTACAGAGATTCGGTTCTGGTCTTTTATTTCCTTCTTAGATTTTTTTGTTGTCTGTTTTGAATGGTGTGTAAATAGGATTTATATTTATTTGTCTATTGGTAGCTGATTTGTCTTAATGCAAATCATTTATATGTGTGGATGGGTAGGTTGGGTGAGAAAGAGACAGAGCACATACATAAATCTAAATCTGTACACAAATTTTAACTGTTATGCATACTAATAGATTTTAATGAACTTAAAAGGAAAGCCATGTTTTTCTTCAGATTCCTTTTCTTGGCTTCATCTTTCTGAGATATCTTTTTTTAAATAAAATTTTATTAAAAAATAATGCCGACTAAAAAAGAAAAATGGAAATAGAGAATAAATAATGCAAAAAAGAAAAAGTATAAACAATTTCACTATCTAGTTATCTTAATTAAAATATATAAAACTCATCACCTCATAATTCAAATCTTAACTATAGCCAAATTTAATAATAATATCTTCTCCAAACTAGTTGTCAGCAAAATGGAGCCCTAAAATAATATTAATTAACAAGTATAAAACTGATCATTCCATATCTCAGCTCTTGAGTATAAGCACATCCACATTTAGAAGATATAAAGTGGTTCCAGTAATCTAGTATGAAGAGACTAAAATTTGATATGAAAAGGTGAGATAATTTTTCCTTTAGAGAACAAGCTCACAAAAATCCCTTTCTTTAAGAGGATCATAAGCCAATTATAATCCTCTTAAAGAAAGAGGATATGTGTTTTGTAAGACAATTAAACATAAAATCAATTTAAATGTTCTCAAATTAGGTTATATAAAGTAACGTAAGCAAAAATACTTAAACATCATGTTAATTGTAAGTATATCCAGCATTTTTTCAGGCCAGATGCCAGAAATCTAAAGAAAACCATCCAAGATAACATGTCAAAATAACATTTTAATTCTGATCAAATAAACCAACATTGTGTTTCTTTTTCTAAAATGTACAATAATCTTGCTATTTAATTCATTCAGCTGATTATTGTTCCTTATTTTGAATTTTGTCAGAATATCAAAAAGTCTCTTTTGTAAGTCTAGCAAAAATACATAATTCCAATAGCTTTCTGGACTGACATTTTTATTTCCTTCTTAAAAGCATCATGTGATATATACATTTGTTTATATAATGACAAATTCTTGTTCATTTTGTTCACAGACAGACTTTTACTTTTTCTGTAATAGCTTCTTCTGGGAACAGACGGTTCCTGAGAAGACCCAGCACAGCTGACATTATTGATTCAAGATCCTGATGCAATTCCTCAAAAATTCCTTTGAACATCATTATAAGCTGCCTGTCTTGTTGTGCCTTTAATGTGCCTTTATTCTTTAAAATTAGTTTCAAAGTCATATTCCATTTTTTTCTGAGCCTTTTGCTTCTTGGTGGCTGAGCCGGGGGGGAAGAGGGGAACCGGGTCATGTGAGTGGCAGGCTGGCACATGTGTGTGCACAGGTCAAATTGTGTGGGCCAGTGCATGCGCATATATACACAGGTCGACTGCAAGTTTTCACTGCTGCTCTCACGAGTTGGGTTGCACGCACACACGCGCATGTGTGTCAGCCTGTGACTAGCCTGACATGTGTCAGTTGTGAATAGGCCACAGCCTGGGAGTGGGCCGCCGGCTGGGTGTTGGGGACCCCTGCCTTAGTTCATCAAAAACTTTCTATAGTGAAAACCTTGTCTTGCTTTTTGTTGTTTTAAATTCTTAAAAATTATAAAGCTGGAGCTTCATTTTCAAGGATCAAAGAACTCACCCAGCGTTTCCAGCCTTGTCATTTTGAAGGGATTTAATGTCTTTAAAACAATTAATAGACAATTTCCAAAAATGATTAGTAAAGAAAATGTAAAAATTATGGCTGGAGCAAGTATGGAAAATTTTCTCAGGTTCCAGTTCTCTAACTTTCTGGAGACTATGGCTTTGCATTATTCTCATGAGATACAATCATATAGAGTACAGATTGGGGAACCTTACATACTCCCTTTTTCTAGAGAGGGTTGAAGGAACTGATCTACTCAGCTGCTCCCTTGTACTTAACTGTAATCGTTGGCTTCATATCATGCGGAGCCATTTTCAGCCCACCATTCTTTTTCAGGAGTCCACTGCCTCAGATATCTTCATGGTATCTTTTCTCTGGTCTTGCATCATACAGTTCCAGTTCCTAGTTTCCATAGCTGCAATCTCCTCTGTTCCACAATCCATCTGGACCCTTTCCATTCCAGTCGCATCTTTTGGCAAACCAAGAAGGAATCATGCTTAATCCCTTTTTTGAGAACGTTTCTGTTTTACAGTGTTCTACCAAATTTGTTCTTGCAGCTTTTAGCATCTATCTTAATAAAGTGTGGTATTTTTCATTCAGGTTTTTTGCAGTGATATGTAAAATAAAAATTTGTGATTTCAGTTCAATTTTAATTTTTAATTTTTTCAAATATTTTGAAGTATTTCTCATACTTTTGAATTTTTTTTACATGATCACTATAAATAATAAAACATTATTTGTTGTAGCACTTCCAACATTTATTTTTGCCTTATTTATTTATCTTGGTGAAGTTACTGTAGATTCCATCTGTAAAACATTTTATACCTATTTTCCCTTAAATTATAACTTGAAATACATTTTATTGACTTCTTTCATAACTCTTCCCATTGTTATATTATGATTACTTCTTAGAAGCTTTGCTTTAACTTTGTACAACTTTTGATTTATCACCTTTTCATTTTTAATAATAATTTGTAGATATGACAATAGCTGATCTTGGTTTGAGTAAGTGCTTCAAATTCTTTCAAGGTCTCCCCTTCTAGTCAGAGATCTTTTTTTTTTATTGTTCTAGCAATTTGTTAATACATTAATCATGGTAAATTCCAACCTTCACTGAACAGTTTTGCTATGTTTTTAGTCTATCTTCAGAGTCTTTGTGCCATATTGGCATATACGATTAAATATTTTTTCATGTACTATAAATAGTTATTCCTGAAATAATAAATGGTGTTTGATGGCAAAAATGTTGGCAATGTTACTGGACTTACTGTTTTCTCTGATTTTTCTTTAGATGGTATAAATATTTTATCTTACATAATCTTTGTATTTCATTGATAACAATGAAATACAATGTAATGTAATTTTGAATAGAAATATATAAAGATTCTTGTTGTTCCTGTGCCTATTGATTGAAAGATATATTGCTTAATAGTAGAAAATTAAGGTTGAATAGAAAGGGACACTCCGTCCCTGGCCTGAGTGCCAAACATGATTTTGTCTCTTCAGGTTCTTCTATTTTTTTTCCAGAGGTAAAAGCAAGAGTCCTTCTGGCACTTCTTGAATATACAGGTAATTTTTATTTAAAAATTGACCAACTTTTGCAAATGTCTTCATTTGTGCTCTCTGAACTTGATTGTTTTCTTGCAGATGTTTCATTACCAAACTAAGTAACACCATAAGTATGTTTGATAATGAAACATCTATAAGAAAACAACCAAGGTCAGAGATGACCAAGGATCCAACAGTTCCAACTCTGAGCTATAAATATTCTTTTTATTGGTACTTGTAAGTAAAATAGTTTAATAATATTTAGTAATTGATATTAATCTGATCTGGATAAGGTTACACTCTGGACTAACAACTTATTTTTGAGGAACAGATGATAAATATGACCAGGAAGTTTTTTCACATAAATCCATTTACAGGTGCTCCTTATTTAACAATGGCAGTGGAGACCAGAATTTATACCACTAACTGACTCAGTCATAAATTGTGATGTCGTGGCTGCACCACTTACTGCCAGAAATCCCAGCACTTCTAGTTGCCACTGTTAAGCAAATCATTCTTTGTCATTAAGCAAGTATGTTACATAGTCAATATTTATGACTTCCTGCTGGCTTCCCTATTGAATTTTTGTTTGGTGGAAGCTGACAGTGAAGGTTGCAAATAGTGACCGTGTGACTGTAGGATTTTGTCACATTATTACGATTGCCTAGCAGCTGAATTGTGATCATATGCTGTGGAGGTGCAGTAACAGCTGCAACTATGTAGAAACATCGTAAGCCCCCTTTGTTCAGCACCATCATAACTCTGAACAGTTGTTGAATGAGTGGTTGCTAACAAGGACTTCCTCTATAAATACATGAGCAAGAAAAACCCATGAATTTTACTGGACTTTCTGAGCAAGCACGTATAAGATTGTGACATAAAGAGGTAACTGATCATTTATCATACAGAAAGCCAGTTGCCATGAAAGTAGGCTAACTTGTGGATATGTATTATATGTACATGCAGAATAAAAAAGCATTATAGCATACACATTAAACAAGATTCCACAATGAATAGCAGTTTTTGACACTTGGATATGTACTAAGGTAGAATAATTTAATAATTAAATTCATTTATGATGTATCTATAGTCTACAAGCTTACTATATAGAGATAGCATGGCATTTCTTTCATCAGCCTGTGCAATCAAAAGAACCTACAAGTATATATATTATCTGGTATTTAATAGCCATTTTTATGCCCAGAAAACAAGATCAGTGCATAGGACTATGCTTACTTGCTCATCAATTTAGATAATTTTTCACCTATTTTTCCAATTATACTCTTTTCAGATAGTGAGATACAGCTCAGGAGAGACATGGTCTTCTGCCAGAGTCTAGTAGCTACAGTTTGTGCATTTTCAGAGCAATTAATGGCTGCCTTAAATCAAATGTTTGACAATGGCAAGGAATATGAAATGGAAACACAAGAGGCCAGCAGGAGATGGTTGGAACAGATATCTACTGCAGGTGTTCTCCTTTACTTCCAGTCACTGCTGTCACCAAACTTGGTGAGAAATCCTATAAATGTCTATATAATATTTATCAATACTTTATTATCCTGAACAAAACCTGAAATAAAATTTTGTAAAAGAGCAATTTTTCAATAATGCTGTTGAATAGTTACTGATAACGTTCTGTATTCTAAAGACTTTGTAAATCAAACCAACAGATCAACTGTACCAGGAAGTCCCCATAGTGAGCTAGGTAGCAAATAAATTTAACAAATACTAATAATAATTCTTCAATTATATCTCTAACATCATCAAACATTAACACCTGTCTATCCTAGGTCCTTGGGAAGATCTCAATAGGTGGATAAAAATGCCAGATCCAGTCTGAACATCTGGCTGAATGTGCAACAGTCTATAATGTGCCAAAGTAAAAGAACCAATTAGTTCATATTATTATCCAAAATTACTTATAGCCTTTTAGATCTTTTTGTTGCTTCTAATTATTATCATTTTCTTAATTTTAAAGGGCTCACTAAAGTCGGAACTGGGAAAAGTTTGAGACTATTAGACATAGCATTTCTGGCTCTATACCATTAGCTACAATCCTTAAGCCCTCACTTATGTGAAAGTGCTGTTTCTTCTCCCTTATATGTGATTTGGCTTCAGTCCTATTTTCTCCAGGACTTGTTTTGTAACCAGTGATATCAGGATCCATTGGATTGAATCTAGTTAGTTTCACTTTAGTTTCAATGAAAGTGGTGGTACAACTTACTCATTAAATTGACTATAGCCTAGTTCTCATAGGAGTTCTGTCAGGAGTGAACACATTATATTATAGTTGCTAATGCTGTTGAATATTGTTGAGTTCAATTTATATCCTGTAGTTTTAATTTATTCTATCAGAAAATAGTTTCTTCTTAAATAATACTGAGTTTTGATTCTTTTCAATTTCTGTGGTTTTATATCAGTGTCCTGTATTCCTCAATTTTGAAGCAGTTTTCCCCAGCATGATATTTCAGGCCACCAATGTGTCCACAGAGATCTCTTGGCACCCTCAGCTCTCTTTTTAGCTGAGCTTAATTTTCAACCAGTTGTTTTGATTAGCAAAGAAATTTTGGAAATGCTATGAATGAAGTGTCAACCTTATACCTGTGTACAACAAGTGTTGCTGGAAAATAAAAATGGCAAGTAGGTTCAGTCTAGTTGTTTGTTTGGAAAAGTGTTCTCGTACAGAAAAAAAATTCAAGAATGATCTGGGTCTGGAATGTAGACAGATAAATCTTGAAGAGATTTTATGGGGAAGCAATGAACAATTTCATATGTATATCTCTTGTAAATGGATACTGTGATGCTGGAAACCCACCAAATGAAATCCAAATGAAATTGAATAACCAAATTGCCGTGGCATGCCATTCTGTGTTTGTTTGTGTGTGGTACTCTTGTCTAGCCATGATTTGTCTTCAGAATTTCAGATATTTATTCATTCAATTTCTGCCCAATTCAACCAAGTGATTCTGGGCTGCTTAAATTCTAAAATCATAAAAGAACTAAGCTAGCAAATGTAAAAACATCCAGAAAAGAAATACAAACAACAGTAAAAAATAATTAACTAAGAGCCCCATGGTTGGAATGTGAGACACTTACAAATTATTTTAGAAGCCACAATACAGAATTTCATTTTCTTTCAATATTTAGTATAAAATATTTTAACTTACAACAGCCAGGATACGCACTTAAGCTTGATTTGCAGTAGCACATTTTAAATATACTCATTTATTTGAAGAAAAATTACAATTCTATGCAATGTAAATAGCCAGATTTTTAAAGCCTTGCAAAAAAGTTCACAGAGTTGGAGTGATTCTAATCTCCAAGGGGAAAATATATCACAAGATGGGGACTGTAGCAGAGATATGCCCATTAAGCCAACAAATCTGGGATTTCTGAATCAAAAAGTTGCAGCCTTTCCCAACTTTGTCCTGTACACATATGTTGCACTATACTTCCCAAATAAACACTGTCCATGCTGGCTGAGAATTCTAAGTGTCATTATACTGTACACTGAACAACATTAGGTTGACGAAAGGTGGCTAATCTTTAATAGGTTAATGATGTCTCTAGAGGTTGTGATACATCTGCATTATTTTACATTTGACTGATTAAAAAAAATCAAATTCCTTAATTTTTTTTCTTCTAAGTTCTATAATTCTGCCTTCCATTAGGCTATAGTTCTATGCTAATGTTTTCTTTGTTAGCAACGTGAGAAAATTATAAATTATTTTAGAAGCCACACTAATACAAAACTTCATTTTATTTTCAGCATATTAAATATTGTAACATACAAAAGCCAGTGTAAGCACTTAAGCTTGGTTTGTAGTCACACATTTTAAATATACTCACTTGAACAATTAAAATTCTGTGCAATTAAATTACACAGGCAACACAGTAATTAACTTTGTCTTCTGTATATATTGTTGCTAATAATTTGACAAGAGAAGATGGAGTAAAATTTAGTAGAAGTCAATCCATATTAATTTACTGATGAGTCAGTTTATTGCTTCAGTGAAAGAGGATATGACCATTTGCAGTTAATGTTTATAATAATCTAGCACGATTACTACATTCTGTCTATATGTATATATTTGCAGACTGATGAACAAGCTATGCTAGAAGACACATTGATTGCATTATTTGACTTGGAGAAAGTTACATTTTATTTTAAACATTCTGAACAGGAACCTTTAGTAGCAAGTGAGTATTGTAAAGCATGCTTACATTTCCCCTTTCAATATTTGTTGTAAAATATTAGAGGATATAACTACACACTCTCGTTTGTGTCACATTTGCTTGTATAGTAAACATCTTTGCATGCTCATGCATATGCAAAATTTTAAACTTTTAACCATTTTGAGGAGAATGGTAATATGGTATACAATATTTATCCTACTTTTCTTACTTCATAAGCAACTCAAGATGGCAAACATAATCCTTCCTCCTCCTTTTTTGTCTCCACAACAAGAACTCTGTGAGATGAGTTGGACTGAAGTGAGTGATTGGCCCAAGGTCACCCAGCCAACTTTTATGCCTGAAGTGGGACTAAAACTCATGGTCTCCTGGTTTCTAAGCCAACACCTTTACATATATACCAAACTAGTTCTCCAATCTTACTTCAATCTTGATGCCACTTCTTTATTCATAGCACCTAGCAAAGACAGTAGGTTTAATGTTAGTTATGATAGTTGTAGGCATTAGTACAAGTTAGAGGGGAAAAGAGAATTTTGTGCAGCCAGGCACAAAATAGAAAGAAGATGGGCAGCAAATCTTTATTCAAGTTTCACTATGAACACAATGTATGAATACAGTCACAATTTCATTTTTTTCTTAAAGCTATCTTAGAAATGTAATGGTATCTACAAAAGAAACTATAGATGAAGAAGTCTTTCCCTGATTGGGAGTATTGCATTTTCACTAAGTTTTTAAAATTAAAAGTAGCTGAAATCTTTTAATATACATGCAAGAATTCTTATAAGATTTTAGACACTAAAATGTATGCATTTTAAAAAAATAAATGTTTAAAAATGGAAATCGGCCCATTTAGTATTCTTATTGGGACTTCATTTGTACCCAATCAATTAATGCTTCCTCTTAACATCTCCCTTATTCCATGTAGTACGTTATCACTGTATTTTCATATCTTTATCCAGTAGTATAACATAAGGAAATTAATTATGTTATAATACTGTGACATAGAATTTGAATTTTTACTTACAAACAAACATTGTGGCAGAAGGATTCAATGTTTGGTATTCAGATAGTGGGTCAATGTAGATTTTTAATCTAAATTGTATTTCCTATGGCACCACAAGGATTAATTGTGATATTTTGGTTGATGGTTGATTTAGTTTTACTTTCTCAAAATATTTGTAAATCTTTGCAAGAAAAATTGAAAAACTTTTGACTGGTAATTTTGACTAAAATGTTATTTTATTTTTAGATATGCCAATCACATATCAAGCAGAAGGAAGTCGGCAAGCTATGAAAATTTATTTTTATCTCGATAGCTACAATTTTGAACAGCTTCCCCAAAGGCTAAAAAATGGTGGAGGTTGTAAACTTTACCCAGTTCTATTTGCACAAGGTAAAATATTTTCAAGTTTACCTATTCTTAATTAGTTTGTTTAACTTATATGAAAAATAATACATAGTTGCTGGCATTCTGGGGTATTCATGGATACAGCAATATGTTGAAGAAAATCACATCTTGCATAAATAAAATGCATGTATGTTATTATACATATTTGAATATTTTATTGTACTTATCTTACTAATGTCTGCCTTTATTTTTAATATATTCATTTGTTTGTACAATTTTGTCTAGATGGATAACTTACTGCATGTTTGAATTTGATAACATGTAAAAATGTTTCTTTTTAAAAAATATGCTTGGAGGAATTCTGGGAATTAAAGTCCATCCTCATTAAAGTTGCCAGATTTGAAAAACACTGATCTAAAAATTTAAAATTTGTTTTCAAATTTTGCCAGTAAGGAGCATGTTTATATGGTTTTTGAATGTTTTTATCTTGAAAGCATAATATAAACTCTTATAATAAATAAAGAAGAAATGTGTTACTGGATTGAAAATGGCTATTGCCGATACTTAGGTAAATCCGATCTTATGTGTTTAACTTGAAGATGTACTACTATGGGAATATGTATGTCCTCTATGCAACAGTGAAATGCACAACATTGTTACTTAACATGTAGTACTGTATATTTAAAGGTACAGAAAAGAACAAGCTTCTGATACCTTTCTACTTAAGAGAGAATATTTCCTTCAGGAATGAAGGAATTTTAGTTAATTTTAATTAATATGACCATGTGCATTTCAGTCCCATGTGTGTTTGTGTTAGCTGTGAAAAAGCAATATTATATTTGGAGAATTACAGTATCTGTATAGGAAAACTGGAAAAAAAATAAACCAGTGCATCAGTTTGATATGAATCTGTGTTATTTCCTGTGCATTCTTTTATAGCCCTGGAAAGTATGGAAGGATATTATTATAGAGACAATGTATCAGTAGAAGAATTTCAAGCCCAGATTAATACAGCTTCATTGGAAAAAGTAAAACAGTATAACCAAAAACTCAGGTGAGTAAATAGCTGTTATTTCTAAGCACGAACTTGGGTCATGATGCTAAAACAATACTGGCAAAAGTCCTGCTTTAGTGGATCATAGTGTGCAAACACATTCAGATTTTTCTTTTTTCCAATTTGACATCAGTCTAGTTAATATTTTGATTGATTATATAGGGAAAATAAAGACAAACATCTGAACATATCACACTGTCCTATTGTGTCTTTTTATTTTTCTTATATGTATCCATTTCATGTATTCATAACTATGTTTATACTCATACCTGTTATCTTGTAAGCGATTAACAAATCAAATAGAAATAAATAAATAAATATGATTTCCAGTATAATCCCTATAATCTATTCAGCCAACTTTACTTGCATGTTTTGGTGCTTCAAATGAGATTCTGTACTATGATTTTTGCTTTATTATTTCACTGCCACAATTTGATTTTTTCTAGTACTGTGAACCTTCAAGTATATTAAGATAATTTTATTGTATAACTGTCTCTTTTAAAGATATGGAAGTGAATCTAAGTCTTACTAAAAAAGATTGATGGGCATATAATACCAAATCATCTCCTATGAACATGACAACTTATTTATGTTGCTGATTAGTTTTTAATGTAGTGAATTTCTCATTAACGTAATGTGATTTAAAAAACCAGTAATTCATATTTTTCTTACAAATTAATATAGATGTTCAGATTAGAAGGAAAATTTGTATTGCATCTTTCCTTCCAAATGCTTTACAACTTATTCTTTTTATTGCTTGGACAGTTTAAAGACAAATAACAGTAAATTTCTTTCAGTACGACAGTGCATCAGAACAGCATATTATCTTCCATTCTTTCCTCTTAGTAACAAAAGCATTATTTTATATTGTACAAAGTAATTGTATTTCTATGTGAATCCAACTTTATCAACAAATTTGTTGAGTTAGCAACAGCTGTAATGTCATTCATGCACCATTCTTTTATTATATTTCCCTTCTGTCCTTTTCCAGACAATAGGCTTATTCTTATATTGTTTTCACAATGCAACACAATTCCTTTCAGGTTGAATATATCCCCATGGTATGCCAAATTAAAACTTAGACAAAGTTCTAGTTTAGCGTGCAGCAGAAGCCAAAAAAGCTAATGTAATCCTAAATTGTATTAACAGAGGGATACAATCAAGATCAAGGGAGGTACTAATACCACTCTATAAAGCCTTAGTAAGACCACACCTAGAGTACTGCATCCAGTTTTTGTCACCACATTACAAAAAAGATGTTGAGACTCTAGAAAGAGTACAGAGAAGAGCAACCAGAATGATTAGGGGACTGGAGACAAAAACATATGAAGAACAGTTACAGGAACTGGGCTTAACTAGTCTAGTAAAGAGAAGGACCAGGGGAGACATGATAGCAGTCTTCCAATATCTGAGGGGCTACCACAGAGAGGAAGGGGTCAAGCTATTTTCTAAAGCGCTTGTAGGCCAGACAAGGAATAATGGATGGAAACTGAACAAGGAGAGATTTAACCTGGAAATAAGGGGAAACTTTCTGACAGTGAGAACAATCAACCAATGGAACAGCTTGCCCTTGGAAGTTGTGGGAGCGCCATCACTTAAGACTTTCAAGAAGCGATTGGACTGCCATTTGTCAGAAATGGTGTTGGGTCTCCCACTTGGGTGGGGGGGGTTGGACTAGATGACCTACAAGGTCCCTTCCAACTCTGATGATCTGTTAAAAGTAGACTGCAGCCCTAAGAACTAAATCTGTTTTTCTAATCTCCATTCGTTTAATTCCCTGTCAACCTGAAAAGGCTTACCTATGAAAGTTGCTTCATGGTTCAAAAATTTTCATGCTTTATATTTCATGCAAGCTCAGCATTACTCTACTATTTATTGACAGAATTTATTGACATATTTTAGATTTGTTCAAAATTCTGAAAAAAGATATTTTCAAGAGCGGTTGTGTTCATCAAATTTTCTGCCAGGTGGCACTTGGATTTTGTAATTAGTCTTTGCTAATTCTGTTTTCTTCAGGGCACTTAAAAAAATCGCATATTGTTTTCTGTTTTAAGGTTGTTTAGCAGTATCTATTTATTCTGAATCTGGGTTGATTGGAAGATGATTTCAATCAGAAGAAATTTCCAGAATGATCCTTATGTGGCCAGGAGTTAACTTCATCTGCAGTCCTAGATTGTAGTGATATAATTAGGTGAAAGTCAGGGTTGTTAGTTTTACTAGACTCTTCCTGTTATCAATTTAAGTGTTGCCTGAGGATTTTTTAAAAATAAAATAATATATAATACAAGTTGAAATCTCATTTTATGTGTTTATTTATTCAATTTGCATAAGCGCCCATCCCATCAAGTAACCATGGGATGACAAACAATCTTAATAAATTCAAAACCAGTTTGAATACAAAAAATTAAAATATATAGCAACTGAGAAGGATGTCTCAAACAGTGGTTGTTAGCATAACCACAAAACACAGGAGGTCGATTGTCCTTTGTTGGAAATTTTCAACAGAATTTTGATAGCTATTTTGCGGGGATAACGTAGAATCTCTGTAGGGGACATGAAGTTGGAGTAATTGATCTCTAAGATCCCTTTCAACCTTTACATTCTATAATCCTATGTTAAGATCTGTCAAACACATTTTGCAGCAATAGATTCCACTGGTTCATTATGTACTGCATGGATAAGTACTTTCTTTTGTCTGTTCTAAATTGCCTTCAATTGCTTCATTGGAACAATCCTGGTCCTAGTGTTTTGACAGAGGAAAAAAACTCCTGCTCAAACCAGATTTGCAAAACAGCTTTTTGTTTTTGTTCTTTTCTTCAGAAGAATGGAACAAGAAGAGCTTCTGCACTGCAAAGTGAAACTCTAGTTTGTATTCATTCAGTCTTCCTCACTCCCAAACCACTGAGATCTGTTTGGGAGTGGTGTGTGTGATATGGGAGGGAAGCCTCACACTGCTTTTCCTAAGTTCACTACAAAGCTAAATAATGCATTTATTCAAAGACAACTGAATGCATACTCTTTTTATCCTTGTGGACACAACTTCTCCCAACACAAAGGAAAGGTAGAGAGATGAACTCCACCCCTACATAAGATATAATTTTCATTCCTGCCAGCCTTTTCTCTTGCTCTCTCTCCCCCTAATCCCAGGTTTGCAAAGCTGAAAGTCACATTAAAAAAGGAAGAAAAAATGTGGGTTGGGGTGGAGAATGGAAAGAAAGTGATGGCAAACCTGTCTTCATTTTTATAAAGCTGTCCAACTGAACCAATATGACACAGGGTGGATGCAACAGTAAACAAACAACTCCCCCACCACACAACATTAAAAGATTCACTATACAATATATAAATATAAAAGGAAAATATGAAACATTCAGCTTCCTTTTGTACTAGTTTAGATGCAGTGAGAGAGGTAGAACAGCAAAGAAGGAAAATAGAGCAGTTAGCCTCCTGTCAAATGTGGTGAAGCAAGGGAATTCTGTATTTCACCAGAGAATTTTGAACTGCAGATGGTGAGGACAATTGGGGGAAATGCGAATTGTATTAAAATGCATTGAGCATTATTTGCAAATGGAGCAGCTGTTGGTATACAGTAGCAGACTCAACCTCTTACATTAAGTAACCTGGGTTTACCAACATAAGGTTTAAAATTCTGCTCCTTCAATCAGAGAATGATAGATAGCAAGTCAGACAAGCCAACCTTGATGTAGAACAGAACCAACTTTTCTCTGTCAATATACAGGTACTCTACATTTACACACAAAACCCCACCTCAAAAATATCTACTAAATTTTAAAATCTATAAAGCAAACGGTTTCTGTACATACATAAGCATTAAGATTTCATCCTTATCATTTTAAGTAGATTAAAAAATAGTGTCTTTTTCAGGTAATGTGCCAACTTTTCCATTAGCTATTGTCATAACATCTGATTGAAGTTCTCAACAAGCATTTAATAATTAAGTGAAGTGCTTTGCAAATTTATATGCTCTCCACAGCTTTCCAGGTTCTCAGAAACACAAATATCCTTTTGTGAAAAGCCACTGGAAGTTGTTCTGTCGGTTTTCACTCAAGTGTCAGTTAATTAAGGAAGAAATAATTTTTTGATATGTCATATTTTAAAACTCTAATTAGCATTTGGGAAGAATAACCTTACCTCCATAGCCATTTTGATGTAGTGAGTAAGGCACTGGACCAGAAACTGGGAGGCCATGATGAATTCTAGTCCTGCTTTAGATACAAAGCCAACTGTCATTTTCTCACTTGTGCTGAAAAAAAGTTCAGAACAATATTTAAAAAGGACTCTCCCAGCAGCACCTGTGGTGGCCATCTATAGAAAACAGTGAAGTTACTTTTGTAGAAGTATGCACTACTCCAAATTAATCATGTCTGCATTCACACATACACAATATGTGATATTTTGCTACACTGTCCCCATTCTGTCCATTTTTAAATATAATAATGTTATATTTAAAAGTGTACCAACATCAACCAGGAGAAAAAGTTACATTTCTAAATATTTAACCAAGAAATAAATCCCAAGTTAATGCGGTTCTTACTCCCTAGTAAAGGTGCATATGTTTTTTAAAATTATTTGGATCATACTTTCATAGAATGTGCAGTAGTTTACTTCTTCTGATGCATGAGATTTTGGACAAAATCTGAAGCTAAGAACAGCTCTGAAATTGGATTATTTTGTATGTCTTTCAAACATTCTGAATACACTTTTGGTCTCTGTACAAAGTAATTTTGAACTCTGAAACTTTATGTTATTATTGTCAAGCATCCACACAGTATCCATGATATCAATCACTCCAAGACATTATCTCTCCAATTGATTTATTAGGAACAGATCTGGCACGTTCAAAAGCAATTTTCCAAGTGAAAGCTTTTTTGTGCGTTACACAGAATCCACCTTCTCTCCTCCCACTTCTACACTTCATAAATCACGAGAATCAATTAACTGCAGCTGGAAATTCTTAATACGACACACAGAAGAACCTC